TTAAAAGATGGAATCCTAGGCTAATGGAGCTGAAGAGTATCTGAAAGTCATCTTTTGATAACCCTGCTCTGTTCAGAAGTCTCTTCTCTATTCTTGACATATTTTTTTTTTCATTTTTTGATGGTCTCCTGCCTTTTTTATATCCTGATTTTAATGATGGCAGGAAAAGGGTTAGCCAGGTTGAGGATACAAACTGTGCTGGTGCTTACCTAACAAGTGGAGTACCTTCGGATTTTGGAAAGGAGGGTGTATGTGACAGAGCAAAAAATCTGACCTTGATTTTTCTCGGGAAAGACTGTTTTTGCAGTACTTCAGTCTTGGCTGTATTAGTACCTAGGAGACGTGTAAGCCACTTCAGCCGTACATCGTTCTCATTGACAGACATTCAGTTGATTTATTCTAAGCTGTCCTACTGAAAATGAATTCAGAATTGTACCCAGCGCACTTAGTATGCAGATTAAGCGGATTAAGGGGACACTGGAGTCAAGGCCTGGAACTGAAGAGCAGCATTGGTACACCAGGCATGCAGCCCTGGTGGCATTTTGCCTCTGGACCTGGCTGACTCTTAGACTGGAGTTCCAGGACGCACCCTGAATGCCTCTCTCCACTCCTTTCTTCCCCATCCCTGAACTTTTCCTTGTTGACAACCTTACTGCCATGAATATCTCTGCTATCAGGTAGGCTGGACGAAGGAAAAACAAGTGAAACTCCAATCTGTCTCATCACCTTTGCCAATCTTACCCATGATGATGAGTAGTTTGGAAAGGGGAGGAAGAGTAGGGGTTGAAATGGCTGACTGAAGCTTCTTAAAATAAGTCATATGCCTTTGTTGATCCCATTTAAAAATCACTGTGCGTAATTGGGAGTTGACCTCATGAATAAGTACATGTAAACAGAAAAAGCTTCAAGAAAACTGTAATTAGTCCTTCATCCCCAGTGCCCTAATTGGAATCATTCTTTAGGTGTATGCCCTGGTGTCTTGTTATTTACTGCCTTAGTTTCCTGTGGCTGCTGTAACAAACTGCCACTGACAAGAGTGCCTGAAACAACAGCAATGTATTCTTTCACAGTTGGAGAGGTAGGAAGTCCAAAGCCAGTTTCTCTGAACCAAAATCAAGGCGATGGCAGGGCGGTGCTCCCTCCAGAGGCTCTACCACATCACTCCAATCTCTACCCTTCTGGCCATATTACTTCCTTTTCTGTGTGTGTGAGCCTCCCACTGCCTCCCTGTTCTAAGGACACTCATGATGATGGCATTTAGGGCCTACCAGGATAACCTCCCTATCACAAGACCCTTAATTGAATCACATATGCAAAAATACCCTTTTTTAAAATAAGGTGACATTTACAGTTTCCAGGGATTACAACCTGGTGTCTTTGGGTGGCCATTATTCAACCTGCTGTAGTTGTTATAGCCACCTTCATCCAGGGCCCTTTTCCCCCATCCCCACCCCATCCCCTGCCTTTTAGTCTTATGAAATAGGTGAGTGATTGATTTATGTCACTGTTCTTCGAGCTTTTGTTTCTCATAATCTAATGCAATTTATAACCAATACATCTTCCAAAACTAAAGGTGTGGAGTTTTTATTTTAATGATGAGGAGTCTGGAGGTGCGGATATTTGAGACTGGAACAGTTCCACGAAGTCATCAGGGACCCTGGCTTCTTGGGGTGCACTCATTACTTTGTGGATAGAAGACTGCCGCTTTACCTCAGCCAGCGTCTCTCGGTTTGAAGCAGGGAAAGGGCAAAGAGAAAATAGGTGCCTGTTTTCTAAAAAGCTTTCCAGAGGCCTCACCTGACAACTGGGCTCACATGTTGGCCATACTAGGTCACGAGGCCACTTGTATCATCCAGGAGGCTGGGAATGTTTTTCCCAGGGTCCATTACAATTCTGCTGTTGCAGTGTTCTTTGGTGTCCAGGAGAGGGGAGAAAGGCTGTGGAGTAGGCAGCTTGCGGTCAGTCCTGGAAGGTGATGGAGGGTTTACATTTCCATCTACAACCAGAAGAAGGCTTTGTGTATATGATCACATTAATTTTTGTTCATTCTTTAACAAAAACCAAGAAAACTGTTCAGTGCCAGGCATAGTGATAAGCCCTGGGATGTCAGGGGCTCCCATATTTTGATACTTGCTATGTGCTAGAAACTTTGTTAACTACTTTCCCATGAGTTATTTACAGGATCTCCTTTAATCTGCTATCTTATCTTCCCTAGACGTATCACCCCACTCTATAGGTTTGGCAGTTGAGGATCCATGAAAATGGTTAGTAGTTATCATTTCCTAGATTTAAAGATAAAAATTTATTGATTTTTTCAGATTTGCTTACTTATTTTGAGAGGGAGCAAGAGCGTGAGCACAAGTGGTGGGAGAGGCAGAGAGAGAGGGAGAGAGAGAATCTTAAGCAGGCTCCACGCCCAGTGTGGAGTCTCTGATGCAGGGCTCAATCCCATGACCCTGAGATCATGACCAGAGCTGAAACGGGGAGTTAGAGGCTCAACTGACTGAGCCACCGAGGCGCTCCCTTAAAGATAAAATTCTAGAGGGGCGCCTGGGTGGCTCAGTGGGTTAAAGCCTCTGCCTTTGGCTCAGGTCATGGTCCCAGGGTCCTAGGATCGAGCCCCACATCAGGCTCTCTGCTCAACGGGGAGCCTGCTTCCTCCTCTCTCTCTGCCTGTGTCCTCTGCCTACTTGTAATCTGTCTGTCAAATAAATAAATAAAAATCTTAAAAAAAAAAAGATAAAATTCTAGAGCTTATAATGGTAGAGCTTAATTGCATACATGTTTTCTAGTTCTGAGTTTGGTACTAAATAGATGCTTTGAATTGAATGTAAACTCTCCACACACACCCACACCTACTCATCCATACACAGAAGCAGTGAGAAAGCATGATCTTAGGTAATCCTGGGTTTGTGTTCTCATTCTGCCTGGTGTGATTCTGTTATGTGACAGACAAGTTATTTAGCTGTTTGTGCTTCAGTTTTGTCATGTGTAAAATGGGGATAATGCTTTCTGCCTTGCAAGATTTTTCTGAGAATGAAATGAGATACAGGTTTATAGTGCACATAGTAAATGGTAACTTATTTATTATGGCTGTCTTCATATTATAGTTTAATACTGACTTTACCTTTCTTTTCTTAGGCTGAATAGATGTAGTACTGAAGAAGTCACTTAATCCTGTTTCAGTTCTTGGGACTTTTCAGTTAATTACAATACCTCTTATGGCAGAATCATAGATGTGTGTGTGTGTGTGTGTGTGTGTGTGTGTGTGTGTTTCAACCAGTTTCCTGTAACTCCAGGGTGGAGAAAAACTGACCTTTTTGCCGGTTGTGAGGGTTTTTGCAGTGTGACAGCAGATAGGAATAACTATTTTCCCTCCTGTATTAGTTTCCTATAGCTGCCATCACAAATTACCACAAATTTGGTAGCTTAAGACAACACAAACTTATTTTCTCACAGTTCAGTAGGTCAGAAGTCTGCATAGGTCTCAGGGTTAAAGTCAGGTGTTGGCAGGTTGGCAACCTTTCTGGAGGCTTTGGGAACTGTTACTTGCGCATTGTAGTTTCTAGAGGCTAGTGTCTTAGCTCATGGCCCCTTCCTCCATCTTCAATCCCAGCAATGTAACTTCTCTCCAGCCCTGCCTCCATCATTCCTTCTCTGATGACTCATGCCTCTCTCTTCCTAAGGTCAGTTTATTAGCAACTTTAATTCTCCTTTACCTTAGTTGTAACCCAACACATTCACAGGTTTCGTGAATTAGGACATGGCCATTCCTGGGGGTGCCGTTATTCTGCCAACCACATCCCCCAATCCTCCCCAAAACACTGAGCTTAGTTTTAGCTTCATAATTGAAAAAAATCCTTGAATGTTGTGGATACCTTTTTATACATTTGAAGTCTTGGGGTTTAATGTTGCAATAGGAGGTAATAGGTATGACCTGGGTTTTCTTAACCAAACAGTTGGCCTGCTGTGGAGGATACAGGGAGAGAAAAGGGGAAGTCGTGAAGATTCTGGCCCTGGAGGAGGAAACTAACCCCTCAGCCTTTGGATGAACCTCGGGGGAGAATAGCTTTAGCATCACTAGTGTAATGTGGTTTGATTACTATATAGTCCTAGGGGTGCTTTCTGTTTTTTCTTAGCTTTTTTTAAAATCCGTTACTTACTCTTTTGTATTGCAAAGTCAAAACATTTGTAGGATTTTGTGAATTTTCTTCATATTGATAATGATTTGTTTGAATAATTTTAAAGCCTTTGAAGGAAATACCATAAAAATGAAAGCATGCTTAAGATCTGTGTCTGGTTGAATTCATTTTTTTCCTAATTTATTACTTGAGTTGATTATTTGAATTCAGTTTATTACTTTAGTTCATTTTCCCAAGATAGTACTTCCTACTGGCATCTGAAATATGTCACATGAACTTTTTTTCTTAAGTGAAAAGTTGAGTCTTCCTGGTCATTGATCCATTCTGCTCAAAGTTCTCACTGAAACTCCACTGTGTGCTAACTACTGTGATTGGCTCTCTGGATGTGGGGGTAATCTTGACATAGTCCCTTCCCTCACTGAGCTTACCATGTAGGGCTGGCAGCATGGAGAAAACAAAGAGGAGGGTATAGCTAGCCAGGAATCAAACTACTATAAATAATGGAAAAATCTGCAAATTTTTCCTTTTCCCTCCCCTAGTATACAACTGATTAATTGGGTTATGGTTCTTTTCAAGTACTTCAAAATAATTTGATGACATAAAATTGAAATATAACTGTGACTGCTATTTATAATATAGGCTAATGTTTCTACTTATTTGAAGTACTTTAAGTTTAGGTTCCTTTCTGAAGTGAATTTTTAAATAGGTATCATCATTTCTTAAGCCTTCCCAAATACAGGATGTACTAAAGTCACAGATTTTGACTTGTGCAAAGTGTCCGGTGTCTATTTTTTACATACAGTATTCCTTAAAATGTCTCTGAAGGCCTGACACTAATTTTCATGTTTGCTCTTTCAGGAATGTTTTAAAGGAAGTTGGGCAACTCACAAGTTACTGCATAAGAAAGCAAGTAAGTAAAATCTTATATCTCTATACCATTTGTCTTAGAAACGACTTTTATGCAGAAGACTAGAAATATTCCAGTTCTGAAAGTGTATATTTGTATTTTTAAAATTTTTAAAATTTTTTAAAATTTAATTTTATTTTTTCAGCGTTCCAAGATTCATTGTTTATGCACCACACCCAGTGCTCCATGCAATTCGTGCTCTCCTTAATACCCACCACCAGGTTCAACTATCCCCCCATGCACCTCTCCTCCAAAACCCTCAGTTTGTTTGTTTCTTTTTTTTTTTTTTTTAAGATTTTATTTATTTATTTGACACAGAAGGAGAGATCACAAGTAGGCAGAGAGGCAGGCAGAGAGAAGGTGAAGCAGGCTCCCCGCTGAGCAGAGAGCCCGATGTGGGGCTCGATCCCAGGACCCTGAGATCATGACCTGACTGAATGAAGGCAGAGGCTTAACCCACTGAGCCACCCAGGTGCCCCCCTCAGTTTGTTTCTAAGAGTCCACAGTTTCTCATGGTTCGTCTCCCCCTGATTTCCCCCAACTCACTTCTCCTCTCCATCTCCAGTGTCTTCTGTGTTATCCCTTATGCTCCACAAATAAGCAAAACCATATAATAATTGACTTTCTCTTCTTCACTTATTTCACTCAGCATAATCTCTTCCGGTCCCGTCCATGTTGATAAAAAGTTGGGTATTCATCCTTTCTGATGGAGGCATAATATTCCATTGTATATGTGGACCATATCTTCTTTATCCATTTGTCTGTTGAAGGACGTCTTGGCTCTTTCCACAGTTTGGCGATTGTGGCTGTTGCTGCTATGAACATTGGGGTACAGGTGGCCCTTCTTTCTACTACATCTGTATCTTTGGGGTAAATACCCAGTAGTGCAATTGCAGGGTCATAGGGTAACTCCATTTTAATTTTTTGAGGCATCTCCGCACTGTTTTCCAAAGTGGCTACACCAACTTGCATTCCCACTAGTAGTGTAAAAGAGTTCCCCTTTCTCCACATCCTCTCCAACATTTGTTGTTTCCTGTCCTGTTAATCTTTGCCATTCTGTTTTGATTTGAATCTCCCTGATGGCTAATGATGAACATTTTTTCATGTGTCTGTTAGCATTTATATGTCTTCTTTGGAGAAGTGTCTGTTCATGTCTTCTGCCCATTTTTATATCAGTTTTTTGAGTGTTGAGTTTGAGTAGTTCTTTATATATCTTGGATATCAGCCCTTTGTAGTGTCATTTGCAAATATCTTCTCCCATTCTGTGGGTTGCCTCTTTGTTTTGTTGACTATTTCCTTTGCTGTGCGAAGCTTTTTACCTTGAGGAAGTCCCAAAAGTTCATTTTTGCTTTTGTTTCCTTTGCCTCCATGTGTCTTGAAAGAAGTCTTCCAGTTCTGAAAGTATATATTTGAATTTCTGAAAGTGTAATCCCAAGAGTGAGAATTAGGACATGTTTTAAAATTTTTTTATTCTTTGTGGTTTGTAATCATGGAAATAAAATGTGGCTGAGCAATCTTTTTTTTAAATCTTGTATGTAACACAAAAACATGAGATGGTTGTTAGGATAGATGGATCTTTCTTGAGCAGTACCTGAGAATGTCCTAATTTTCTGGCACCCACTTTCCTTTGCTGGAAGTGTTTGAGTGTTATAGGCAGTGGTACTTGAGCTGTCTGGCTTTTAAATTTAGCCAGATCTCTTGTTTTTGTTTCATTTTCAAAATTTATTACTTTGCTTTTTTGGTGTTTTAATACTCTTATTGGGACACCTGGGTGGCTCAGTGGGTTAAGCCAATGCCTTTAGCTCAGGTCATGATCTCAGGGTCCTGGGATCGAGTCCCGCATTGGGCTCTCTGCTCAGCGGGAAGCCTGCTTCCCCCCCTCTCTCTGCCTACTTGTGATCTCTCTCTGTCAAATAAATAAACAAAATCTTTAAAAAAAAATACTCTTATTTGCAGCTGAATATTCGATTTTTCTTTCTTTTTTTTTTTTTTAAGATTTTATTTATCTATTTGACAGACAGAGATCACAAGTAGGCAGAGAGGCAGGCAGAGAGAGAGGGAGAAGCAGGCTCCCCGCCGAGCAGAGAGCCCAATGCGGGGCTTGATCCCAGGACCTTGGGATCATGACCTGAGCCGAAGGCAGAGGCTTTAACCCACTGAGCCACCCAGGCGACCCTGATTTTTCTTTTTTAAAGTTATTTTTTGAGACACCACAAAGTGAAACTCTTAGCTATTGCTGTCAGCCACATGGATCTATTACCAATTCACATGACTTTTCCTGCTTTGGCTACTCACTCATCCTGTAAATTAATTTCATCAGTGGACTGCCTTAAGGGCTTAAGACAATTCATTGCAGTTACCTGAAAATTGACCAGGGCTTTCTGGTCTTAAAACATTGCCATCTTGATGCATGAAGGTTTGGCAGACAACTCATGGTTCTTGGTATAAAGTTTCTGTTTCTTGACCTACTGATCTTGTTCTTTTTAATTCATCAAATTATGTATTTTTTTTTAAGGAATTTGCTGGTATAATAAACATAGAGAGATTGTTTTATATGTATCTATTTTAAAATCTCATTGAGGTCAGTTTAACCACCATTTGAAGGAAAGGGAAATAAAAATGAAAAGACAATTTCTGTGGTTCTGTAAAGTGAAGTCTACATTGAATGGAAATGCTAGGTTATTGTGGGAGGAAATGTTGTTAGAGATGAGAAAGAAGGATTGCGAATAAATGAGAGTTTAACAAAGCATAAATAACAGGATTCGTTACTTCAGATCAAAGTATAGAGTTTGGTTTAAATGCCATTTAACTTTATTCAGTCATACACTAAGTACTGTATTTCTAATGTGTTAGATATTTTTAGAGCTCTTTGACCAGTTATTAATATTTTATATCCAGGAAGTTAAAAAGTTTAGATAAGTGAAGGGTTGAGGTGAAATAGTATGTTAGCAAAACAGCTTAGAATGGGTCTCTACCCCAAACGTTTCCTAACATATTGAAGTGTGTGTCTCTCCCTTTCTTTCTTCCTTTCTTCCTTCCTTTCTTTCTTTCTTTCTTTCTTTCTTTCTTTCTTTCTTTCTTTTTAAGATTTTATTTATTAGAGAGAGAGAGAAAAGAATGAGTGGGGGAAGGGGCAGAGGGTGAGGGAGAAGAAGCAGGCTCCTTGTTGGCAGGGAATCCTACATGGGGCAGGATCCCAGGATGCTGGGATCATGACCTGAACCGAAGACATACGCTTAACTGACTGAGCCACCCAGGTGTCCCATGTGTGTGTGTTTCTTTAATACTGGATTCCTACAGGAAATGAAGAGCCATTTCAACCTACACTCCAAGAGAATTCAACAGCTAATGTACCCTAAGTAAAAAGATCATAATTATTATGCTTTAGACTGAAACTGTTTGCATTTTACTTATTGCTCTAGTGTTTACTATGGTGCCATCTTTTAGATGGTGCCCTCCTGGATCTTTGGGGATGGTTTTCTTAGTGGGTGAGCACTGTCTTGATCCCTTTGGGCTGTGCTGGATAGAGACAGCCCTCAGCTGGCCAGCCCTGTATCTTTCATATCCTATTAAATTAAACCTGACTACACCCACTGGGGAGGACAGTCCTAGAGGAGGAAATGGTGTGGGGAGGGTTGGTATCTAGGGCTAAGAGGAGTATCTGGAAAGGGATCAGTAGAAACGAATGTTGGGATGGCAAGGAACCAGGCATATTAGAACAAAGCATATCTTATTCCAAAAAACAATAGTGAGAGAATATATAACATGCAGTTCATTTTGTGAAGATGTTATACCCAGCCTTTTTCTTTTTAAGATTTTCTTTCTTTATTTGAGAGAGACAGATGTAGTGAGAGAGAGCAGGAGCAGGGAAGAGAAGGAGAAGCAGGCCTCTGCTGAGCAGGGAGCCGGATGTGGGACTAGATCCTAGACCCTGGGAGCATCACTTGAGCTGTAGGCAGATGCTTAACTGACTGAGCCACCCAGGCATCCCTCTTTTTCTTAAAACTATAATGTGTACTGATCTGTAATTAAATTGCCTGATTTATATTTATATTGGTGCAAGATATTAGTCTGTCATTTGCTTTTAATATTTTTGCCTAGTTTTGGCATGAGAGTAATCCTGGACTCATGAAATGGAAGGTGTTCCCTCCTCTTTTCTTTTCTAGAAGAGATTGTGTAGAATTGGTATTATTTCTTCTGTAAATATTTGGTAGAATTTACCAGTGAAGCCATCTGGACCTGGAGTTGTTTTGATTGCAGAAGCTAATCAGGACTTAGGAAAATTTCAAGTGTGAGTTAAAGAAATGACTCAAGGGCAGAATTTACTTTTCATGTGTCCTAGGGAAGAAGACCGGTTAGATTGCAGAGCCCTTAAAGGCACACAGTGTTGACGGTTGCTAGGCACATACTACCAACACGTATCTCCTGTCAGAATGCACACAGTAGCATTGGCTTTTAGTCTGACCTGTAAAAGTTGTAAATAATAATACAGTAGGTTTTAGTTATCACTTTTTTTAGTTTATCACTGATAAAATCAGTATGTTTCTTTGTCACCTTTGCCTCCGATAAAAGGTAGGAGGAGTGCTTTAGAAGTACCTTTTGAATTGCCGAAAGTATGATATGAAAACTCTATTTAAAAAAAACCCAGGGGCGCCTGGGTGGCTTAGTGGGTTAAGCCTCTGCCTTCGGCTCAGGTCATGATCCCAAAGTCCTGGGATCGAGCCCCACATCGGGCTCTCTGCTCAGCAGGGAGCCTGCTTCCCCCTCTCTCTGCCTGCCTCTCTGCCTACTTGTGATCTCTGTCTGTCAAATAAATAAAATCTTAAGGAAAAAAAAAAACAACAAAACCCAAACCTTTAAGTAATTCTTTTTATTCTACTTCTCTACTACTCCGAACCTAGTATGCTTGATTTTTGGATTGCAGACAGAAGGTATTATGTAATCATTCAGAACTGGTTCCACCAAGCTTTGTGAGCATGGATTACGTTAAGCCTTACCTCCAAAGTGCTGAAATTACAGGTTTGTTATGAGGATTAAATAAAGAAATCCACATCAAGTGCTTAGCATGTGTACAATGCCTAGTAAGTGCTCAACAATTGTTTAATAATTATCTCTGCAAGAACTGAGTCAGGATTGTGAGCAGAAAATCCTGTCCCAGGCAAAGCTGAGATGGGTGCGTTCTGTATCCGCTGACTAGGAGGGGGCCGCCTGTGCAGGACCTTTTCAAGAGTGAGGCCTGGGTGTGCGGTGCTTTGGGTCATACCTTGTGCGTACCGGTTACTCTTTGCCGCTACCTGTGGTGTACCTGGCTGGTCTTTTTGCATTGAAATGTTTGGAAGACAGCTACAGAGGTTTATTTACACTGTCCTGTGTTTTCAGTCTTTTGACAAAGACCAGTGAGTAAATAGTTTTGTTCCTAACCCCCCAGTACAATTCATGCTTACTAGGTAGACACTGTTAATGTGTCTAGCATTGAGGGTTAGAGCAAACTGATCCTAAAATGTAAACTAACTTACTTTTGAGGTGTCAGTTTCCCTAAGTAAATTATACCTGGAGATTAGAAAAGAAATTACCATAATTCAGTCTTAATTTATTTGGGTAGCTTTGAGTTATATTATCTGTTGGAGGTCTGCTTTTTTTTTTTTTTTTTTAAAGGTTTTATTTATTTATTTGAGAGATACAGAGAGAGAGAATGCACACAAGCAGGGGGAGGGCAGAGGGAGAGGCAGGCTCCGTACTGAGCAGGGAGCCGGATGCGGGACTTGATCCCAGGACGCTGAGATCATGACCTGAGCTGAAGGCAGACACTTAATGACTGAGCCACCCAGGCGTCCCTTGGAGGTCTGCTTTTAATTCTCTTTTGGAAAATAGACTGTGGAAGGGCCTGAACACAGATCATCAGGAAGCTTTGGAAGATTGCACATCTCTTCTGTTCCCTTCCACACTCCCTGCAGTATGTCAGACCAAAAAGCCTACATCTTGTTTGCTGTTCTGTCCAAGGTTTCAGGTGAAAATTAATCTTGAAGTTTATATTTCAGAAAAAGCACTTGATGTAATTGATAGCTGAAGCAGGCATCCATTTGCCTGCATTTTGAACTGTTTTCTGAAATGTTTGACCCTGGGGTTAATGAATGGAGTCTGTTTTTGTCCTGGGATGTGTAACAGTTTTCCTATTGACATTCATGTCCTCCGGTGGCTTTCCTGAACTCCAGAGGGGAGAAAGATCTCAAAATCAGGAGCATGATAGAGCTTTTCTTTTCCTTTGCTCTTCTTATTTTTATTTTCTAGTATTACTCTTTTCCATTCCTTTACTTTATATATAATATTATAATTGCATTCCAAAGAATGCAACTACTTTGCATTACTGACCTGTAAAAGTTGTAAATAATACAGTAGATTTTAGATTGTCACAATTTTTAGTGAGAATTACAATTACTTTGCATTTCCAAAGTAATGTGACTGGACTGGCTGTACTTTTGCAGTCTTGTCCATTGTGCTTCAACCACCTTTCAATTCCAGGTTGACCATGGGCTCCGCGGAGAGGGCATTGCCCTGGGAGCCAGCATTGCTACATGTCTCTGCTCTTGTGAGCCATACTGCCTCAGTTTCTTCCTCTATAAAATGAGGAGTCAGTTAGTGTCGATGGCCTTTTTTTTTTTTTTTTAATTATTTATTTGTCAGAGAGAGAGAGAGAGAGACCACAAGTAGGCCAAGAGGCAGGCAGAGGCAGAGGGAGAAGCAGGCTCCCTGCCGAGCAAGGAGCCCGATGTGGGACTCGATCCCAGGACGCTGGGATCATGACCTGAGCCGAAGGCAGCTCCTTAACCCACTGAGCCGCCCAGGCGTCCCTCGATGGCCTTTTTGTTGCTGTTAACTTAGTCACCGTGCTGTATTTGACATGCCTAGAACTTACTGATCTTATAACTGGAAGTTTATACTTTTGGACCCCCTTCACTCATTTCACCATTCCTCGTTAGCCTAACACTGTGTGAGTCTCTCTATTCTCCCCAATTTGGATGTTTAGATTGTTTAAAGGGGCAGTTTTATTTTCCTTGCAGACCTCAGAAATTTTTGTTTGAAATCTGACTTTGATTTGTTTTTTAAATTTTTTAAAAATCTGACTTTCAGAAGCTATGATAGCTTAATGGTAAACAGGAGAAGACCAGTGTGCATGTAGGAGGGATTTGAATTTCTGCTATGTAAAAGTCTTAGGTTACTTTTATTTTACTTGGTGGATGAGAGGTGCAGTCAGGGTGCTGGCATCAAGCAACATTGAGGGTCTCTTCATATGCAAAGAAGTCAGGTGCATTAACATTATGTATTAATAGCTAACCTGGCAAGAGTGAGTATGTGTGATTCTTAATTTTTCTACTGAGTTTTCAGTAATTTTCTATTGATTGTTCTCTCCTCTTATCTTTGACTTTCCTACTTTCTTCTATTACTCCCTTTCTGAAAAAAGGCATATGATGACTATAAAATTTTCAAAACATTCTGAAGTACTTGTCTGAAAGCTTTTTGTCAAATAAGTGGGAAATTTTTATTTTTTACTTTAAATTTGGTGTGAAACTATTTAGAATCTGTTCTTTCCGTAGGAGCACAGAATCCATTTATAACATCTGCTCTCAGTTGGGAGGTTTTGCCTAGGCTTAAGATTTTATATTTTCAAAAAATGGGCTTCCTATAAATTGACATTGTGGAGAGAATACATTTAGCATTTTCTTGGAAAAGGAGTTCTCTGAGCTATTCCTGTTTGATATTGTGTAAAATCTTGGAATATGTTTAGCTTGGGTCTTTTCTCCCAAGACACTGAGATCTTTGAGGAGTCATAGGGTTGTGAACATAGCAAGAAAGCAGAAGCTTTGATGATTTAGGTTTGGGTGGAAGTTTGTTAGATTTTTATGCCTGGGCTCTGTGGCTTGGTTTCCAAACAAGTGATAGTTAAAGTATTCTTGTCCTCAGTAGCTTGACAGCTGAAGTACTTCTTTCTCTTTTTTTCTTGTCTGCCTACCTTCTAGAAGATGAAAAGGCCAAGCGAGAAGTGTCTTCCTGGACTGTAGAAGGTGATATTAACACTGATCCGTGGGCAGGCTATCGATATACTGGGAAACTCAGACCACATTACCCACTGGTGAGTAAATAAGGTAATAAAAATTTTTACATTCTTTTTTTTTTTAAAGGTTTAATTTATTTATTTGAGAGAGAGAGAGAGAGAGAGAGAGAGAGAGAGAGGAGATAAGCAGGAGGAGAGGGAGAAGCAGACTTCCCACTGAGCAGGGAGCCTGCTGTTGCTATCAGCCTCGATCCCAAGATCCTGAGATCATGAACTGAGCCAAAGTCAGACACTCAACTGACTGAGGTGCCCAAAATTTTACTTTCTTTTAAAACAATTTTCAGTTTCCTAAAAATGATACATGTGTTTTATATTGCAGTTATTAATCACACAATCAGGATCAAATTTGCATTCTAGCTCTTTAGCTTTTATGATGTAGTACTTGGAATTTAGGATAATTGACAGTCATGGACAAAGCAGAAAGAATTCTAGGTGAAGGCTTAAAAACATTTTAATCTTAAAAAAATGAGGTAGAATAGATATTTTCTGCCCTGCACAATGATAGTGTAAATTACTATTTTCCTATTTTTTTTAAAGCAGGATATATATCCACCTTAATTTAGATACAGCTTTTCTGCCACTCCCAGTCCTTCCTATGGTTCTTGGCAGGTGGACCTCAAGAATCTTAACATAGGAGTTGCCTTAAGTTGACATCTGTTTGCCATCCTTAAGTATTTAAAAACTCTTTACTGATGGTGTTCTTTTTATCAAAGGAGTGTATCTTTTATTTTTAAATTTGGAAAAATACAAAAAGTATGAGAAATTCTCTTTATTCTACCTGCAGAGGTAATGGGAGCATATTGATGTAGATATACTTTGAGATATTATTTTATTACTGTTTTTGGCTTGCTAGTTTGCTTAGAGCAACACGGGCATGTTGCTGTCCATGTTATCTTAAATCCTAACTTGTCTGCTCTCCTCCTTTTTTAAATATCCTCAGAAACGGAGTGGTGTTAGCCACTAGAAAAGGAAGGCTTAGTCTTCATGAAATAGATATGATATTTAAGATGTCATTTAAAACTTGTTTTCCATTTATATTTATGAATGAACTTTTATCTTTAGTGTGTTTTCCCCTACTTTTTATCTTTGTTAATAAATTTTAATAATGAAAGTTACTCCCAGATTTGAATTGGTTTTAACTAACCTCTTTGATGTTTTTAGATGCCAACAAGGCCAGTGCCAAGCTATATTCAAAGACCAGATTATGCTGATCACCCTTTAGGTAAATTCTGTGCTGATTCTTCATTTTTGTTTTGTTTTGGTTTTTTTTGGGTAGAAATTTTTCAGTGCTGGATTTCCAGTAAATGTAAACATGTTTTTCTGAGACACACTAGAACATTTGCAACAATTAAAGTTTCTTTCCTTCCTTTAGAAATCTACCCAATTCTGAAAACATTGTTTATGTAGCTGCTAACGGGTATATTTAACATAATGTATTTTGTGTTGTTTTGTCAAATTCTAAATTAAAAAATTGTTTTGATTTTAACATGTCCTCCTACCTTAATTATGTACTATCTATTTAGATAAAAAACAGCTTGTGGAGACCTTGATTGAATGCCTAACTAAAGACTCTGGGCTGTAGCAGTAATAGAAATGGTAGTGAGGATGATTAATTCTATAATCGGTATTTATTTTTTCATGACCATGTGTCAGGCACCATGCCAAGTTCTTTACGTGTATTCCTTTTTCCATTTAATACTTTGACCACCCCTGAGTTGGGTTCCATGGTCTTCTCCATTTTATAGATATTGATAGTGAGGAACCCAGAGAAGATAATGGAATTTGCAACACAGGTTAGTGAAGCAGTCTGATTGTAGGGCCTACATACATAGCTTCAGCTGGACTGTGTGACATTACTGATTCTCCATGTCTAAAATGTTGAGCGTCATCCTTTTCCTGTGGTTTAATCTACTAAGCTAAGCTACCTTTGCTTTGCTTTGTTCTCTAAGAAGTGGGAGGTGTATTAATGTCTTACGAATATAATTTTATTTTTTTTAAAGATTTATTTATTGATTTATCTTAGAGATAGAAAGAGAGAGAGTGCATACAGGCAGTGGGAGGGGTAGAGGAAGAGGGAGAGAGAATCCACAAGCAGATTCCCCGGCTGAGCACGGAGCCCATTGTGGTGCTCAGGGTCAATGTCCTGAGATCTTGACCTGAGCCAAAAGCAAGAGTTGGCTGCTTAACAGACTGAGCCATCCCAGGCCAGGTGTCCCATGAATATAATTTTAAAATTTAGTTAAATTCCACAATTTCAGATGAATTGAAGGACAGGACAGTCTGAATGAAAGAACATTGTTAAGGATGTATAATTTCATTACTCTGTACTTAATATACTTGAGTATAGTTTTAATTTGTGTTTAAAAAAAAAAAGACAAGGTAAATTCTAATAGGATAAAATGTTACACAGCGAAAAGTAAGTCCTATTCCCCATAGGTAACCAGTGTTAACAGTTTCTTGGGACAATTTCTAGGGATATTTTATGTGTATACGCATGTAAATACCACACCCCCGGTTACACACAAAAGGGACAAACCGTATACACCTTTTCACTTTTCGCCTTGTGATATTCTCAATACTTCTTGGAAACATTCCATATAAACCCACCTCTTTCTTTTTAATGACTGAGGTATATTCCATTGTGTGGATGCGTCATAGTTGGGTAAGCCAGGCCTCTTCTAATACATGGCTAGTTTATTTTCAGGTTTTTGCTTCTTAAAATTTGACTGCAGTAACTGTTCTTATAATTACATCTTTGTGAACATGTGAGAGTATTTCTATAGGTTAATTGGCTAAAGTGAGTGAGTAGATCAAAGGATGCATGCATTTTTTAATTTTGAGAGTTACTACAAATTTCAGAGCTTTTTGCCATTCGTTACTCTCATTAAAAACATATGGGGGTTTCTTTTCCTATATTCTCCCTTGTATTGACTGTTGCCAAGTTTTATGATTTGTGCTAATTGATACTGTAATTTATATTCTTAAATTGTAAGGTTGAGCATCTTTTTATATGTTAAAGGTCATTTTTATTTTTTTTCCTCTTGATCTGTCTGTTCATATTCCTAGGCTTACCCCCCTTAGATTTGTAGTTTTTTCTATTCTGAGTTGTAAGTGTTCTTTGTATATTAAGAAAAATAATCCCTTGATGTACATGCTATAAATGTTTTTTCCCAACTGAATATTTACATTTTTGTCTTTGTAACATTACATTTATGACAGACTTGAAACATTTTTCCGTAATAAAATTTGTCAGTGTTTTCTTTCAAGGTGTCTATGGCTTGATGAACCAGAAAGACCTTTCTGGTTCAGATATTACAAAAAATATTTTTCTTGTCTTTTCTTCCACTGTTACGTGGTTTCACTCTTTTTGTGTATGATAAGATTTTTGGTGCTTTTATCATTTATTATTAGGTGTTAAACAGGGATGCAACTTAATTTTTCTGTCAGAATATCTGGTTGTCATATCACTAATGTTTAAGCAAATCAGTTGTCTTTTAATTGATTGTAAAATGCAATCTATATCTTTATAGTTAATTCTTACATGTCTGGGTTTGTTTTTGGTTTCTGATCTGTTTCATTGACTGTTTGTCTAATCATCTGCCATTGCCAAACTTTTTTTTTTTTTTAAAGATTTTATTTATTTATTAGAGAGAGGGAGAGCAGAGGGAGCATGAGAGGGAGAAGCAGGCTCCTGCTGAACAGAGAGCCTGATGTGGGGCTTGATCCTAGGACTCTGAGATCATGACCTTAGCCAAAGGCATTAACTCAACCCACCAAGCCACCCAGGTTCCCCACCAAACTTTTTTTAATTATTATTGCTATATAATGTTTTAATACTTGGTAAGCCTTGTTGTGCCACCTTTCCTCTTTTTTTCAGAATTTTCCCAAGATTCTTGCATGTTTGTTTTTCCATGTGAAATTTATTTTATTTTATTACGTTTTTCCATGTGAAATTTAGAATCCGTTTGTCTGGTTCCCAAAAATACCCTGTTGCCATTTTTCTTGGGATAGCATTAAATTTATAGATTAATATGGGAAGAACTCACACCTTTACAATATTGAGAATTCCTACCCAAGAGTAGGGTGTTTTTCTCCTTTGTCTCCTTCTATGTCTTTTAGTGGTGTTTTCAATTTTTTCATTAGGTTTTTTTTTTTTGGTTTTTTTTTTGGTTCTTTATTATTTATTCCTAGATACTTTATCTTGTTTAGTTATTCTTAGGAATAGTATCTTCTGTATTTTGTAGCAATGGTTTGTATGTGGGAAAGTTAATTGACTTTGATACATTTATCTGATATTCTGCCAACTGCTGCATTCTTATTTGTAGTCATTTATCAGATATTCCCTCCTTCTAGGGTCACATAATCATATCTAAAAGTGGTGAGGATTTTGTTCTTTTCTTTTTAGTTTTATACTTCTTATTCTTTCCCTGTTTAATTACATTTGTTAGTACTGTCAGAACATTGTTAAATAATATTCCTGACAAGTGGGCATTCCATGATGATGGTTCTTAGCTTAAGATTTGTATTTGTCATGTTAAGGTGTTAGTTGGTCATGTTATCAGAATTATCTTTGAAGATGATCGTTTATCTTTCCTCTCTTAATCTGTGGCCCTGATGAATTATATTAATAGATTTGTTACTATTGAACTATCCTTGCCTTTCCACTGTGAATCTCATTTAAATCATGCTGCATTTTATGTTTTTTGGATTCTGTTTGATAAGACTTTATTTGGGATTTTTTTAATCATTTATAAAAAAGCTTAGTTTATGGTTTATTCTCTTTTGTCAAGTTTTGAAATAACCATTATACTGACTGTGACACTTTTCAAATGTATGAATAATTTGAATTAAGCTAGTTTTATTAGTTAAGATTCTTAGGGCGGTATTTTTCAAACTTTTTTGACTATGACCTAGGATGAGAAATGGATTTTATAACATGATTGTGTGTGTGTGTAAATTAACAAACATTCCACAACAGCTCTTACTCCTGTTCTATATGATTTAGTCTAATAGTTTATGTTCCATGTATTTACTTTAAAAAGATGTTAGCCAACTTAGGTTCTTGTTTAAAAAAATCAATGAGTATAATGATTCATCAGTTGTTGGTGTATAATTGCTTCATTAGTTGATGATCATGACCGCAATTTGTAAATTGCATAGGACTATTTAAGTGTGAATCATTTACTGACCTTACCAGCATATTGCCTGTACGTGATAAATACCCCACATTGACTGATTTCTGATCTGGGAGTTTGTTCTTTAGAGTTCTGTCTTCTGTTTGTTTAGCAAATTTTCTTTTCATGTTGGAAATATTTTTAAAAAATACCTGACCTGGACCCTCTAAAATGATGAGATACCATTGTGTGAAGTAATGAGACTTGACGATTATTGTTTTGTCAGGAAGACAACTATGCTAATAAATACTACATCTTTCCATTCATTTTGGCTTTTCTTACTGATTCTCTTTTTTAGGAATGTCTGAATCTGAACAGGCTCTTAAAGGTACTTCTCAAATTAAATTACTCTCATCTGAAGATATAGAAGGGATGCGACTTGTATGTAGGGTAAGAGTTACTTTTTTCCCCATGGGGTAAGCTATGTTTAAGTGGACATGGAGTGATTAGACCTGAAGTCAATGATTTGTTGATGTATAAAGGTAGCAGTTGTTATATTGTTAGACTTTGGCTAGCCATACTTACTTTTCTTTAAACTAGTGTTAGCATATAATTTTATGCAACTATTGTTTTCTACATCGATAGCTTGGATAGCCTATTTGAAAAATAATATGGCAGGTAATCTAGCTTAGTTGGCAGTCAATTTTTTGACACTTTTTTTTTTAATTTTTAATTTTTTATGACACTTTTTCTTTTTTTTAAAAGAACCAGGTATTCATGGTATTTTGTTATTTTATTTTTGTGATTCATCGTAACAATAAGGCAAAGTTTAAGGCTTTATATAACTTTAAGTTAAAGCCTCCGTTAAAGCCATGAAATATAGTAGCTCACCCTTATCTGTGGTTTCGCTTTCCATGGTTTCAGTTATCCGTGGTCAACCACGGTCTGGAGGCAGTTGATCTTTTTTTCTGATGTATTGTCAGAAGGTCATTAGTACCCTAGTGCTACATCACAGTGCCTATGTTGTTCACTTCATTTTATCTCATCATGACAGCATTTTATCATCTCACATCATCCCCAGAAGGGTGAGTAGAGTATGGCAAGCTATTTTGAGAGAGGGAAATCACATTCATATAACTTTTATTATAGTATATTGTTATAATTATTCTATTATTGTTATTAAACTCTCACTGTCATTTATTTATAAATTAAATTTTATCATAGGTTTATATATGTAGGAAGATATAGCATATGTTGGTTTCGGTACAGTTTGGTTTCAGGTGTCCCTAGAGATAATGGGAAGCTGCTGTAACTAGGAAGTATAAAAATGTGAGAAGACTTAACTTCCACTAGTTGATTATTATTTAGATTCCTAGGATATGCATTTTCATATAGAAATCAGGCATGCTTACTTATTAAGCTAGTTAGCCCAATTTTATCTATATATTTATATACACACATCTGTTGATTGATGGACATTAGAAATGGAAAGGTTTTAAAAATGAAAATTCAAGATTATATTTAGGGTACGATTCTGTCACAAAACCTAAGATAGTACAACATACAGATTCCTCTTTCTGTTTCATTTCTTCTTGAATGTATTAAATATTTTTTTTTTTACAGCTTGCTAGAGAAGTGTTGGACATTGCTGCTGGCATGATTAAACCCGGTGTGACTACTGAAGAAATAGATCATGCTGTACACTTAGTAAGAACTCTACTTTTGAAAATGTTTTTCACATTATTAGATGTTTTAGGCTTCTAAAAATTAAGTAAACTTAAGTTCTAAATGTCAAAAGTAATATCTAAATTAACATAGCTAATTTGAAAGCAGATTCTTGCTTTATTTCAATATAGAAAATATTCAAGTCTTTATTCCCATTTTTAAGTATCTGTGATATTTACGTCTGAGGTGAGCTTGAAATATCTTGTTTCTGAAATCTCACATTTTATAATGTTTAGTTTAGTTTTTATAAAATGGTAATTTTACAAATTTATAGTGCTTTATTTTTTTAACGCTAGTGCTTTAAATAAACCATGCCACTACATACATTAAGTATTCTGAAATAAAGAAGAATACAACTTCTGAAACTAGATTAGAAAAAAAATGTTCCCTTTCATATCTATAATAACAAAGCAGTGAATAGAACAGTGTTTGTAGTAAATACAATACAGGGTATCTTTTTATAAAGATTGCCTATCCATCATGGAGAGACCTTAGTACATGAGTAGTAATGAATGCACACATTATATGAGTAGATTGTTCACAAGAGAAGAACAATAATTAGTTAATAAATCACAGGGAAAACTAATTAAACCTGCTATGGTAATCAAACAAAAGCAAATCATGAAGACGTACTGAATTAGTTCAGTATTTTAAAGATGTTTATTTCCACTGCCTTTATGGAGAAGATGAAGCTAGTACTTCTTTACATGGTGGTGCTACTGTAAATTGGGACATCCTTCTTGAAAAGAAATTTGACAGTGTGTCTTGAGCCATAAAAATGTTCATAAAATTATTTATGCACACCCATGTGTGCAAATGGTGGAGGGACAGAGGGAGAGAGAATCCCAAGCAGCCTTCTTGCCCAGCACGGAGCCCAGCAGCGAGGCTCCATTTCGCTGAGATGCTGAAATCAGGACATGAGTCGAAACCAAGAGTCAGATGTTTAACCGTCTGAGCCATCAGGCACCCCAGCTTGTAAAATTTTTTATTAAAAAAAAAACTACAAATTCCGATTTGGGGAAATTGTTCCATATATTATAAAATATGTAATATGCAGTAATAGCATTTTGCGCACTTGTCATAGCTCAGGTGCTCTTTATATATGTGTGTGTGTGTGTGTGTGTGTGTGTGTGTGTATGTATTAGAGATTGAGCATGTGTACAAGCTGGGGGGAGGGGCAGAGGAAGAGGGAGAAAGCAGGCTCCCTGCTGAGCAAGGAGCCCGATTTGGGCCTTGATCCCAGGACCCTGGGATCATGACCTGAGCAGAATGCAGGCACCCAGCTGACTGAGCCACCCAGGTGCTCTCAGGTGCTCTTTTACATGCTGCTTTTACTAACTTACTTAATCTCTGCAACAGCTCAATGAAGTAGATATCACTGTTGTCTCCCTTGTATAGGAAAGGAAACTGAGGAAGGGGTTAATTGACTTGTCCAATGTTAGACACAACTCGTAAGTGATGGAGTTGGCATTTTTCGTCAAGACAGTTTGCTGTGTAAACTATTATTTATACTGGCTGTGAGAAGTATAAGAGTATATCATTAAGTAAGGGAAAAGTGACAGGAATGTTGTTATTGGTTGTAACATTTTATGTAATTGAGGAAACTTAATTTAAATTTTCCAATAATAGTGGAATCGGCAGTAAAATTTTGGTGTATTTCACAAATCATATTATATGCAACTACTTAAAAATTACTAGTGTGAAGACTGTGTGGCAGTATGGAAAGAGAAAGCATGTATGCTATAACTCCCACTGTGGAAAAATATCCAAGTAACCTAAGATTCGTTAAGGAAAACCTAACCGTTTTCTTAGAGGTTCCTTTGTTGTTCTATATGCATGTAGTGCTTAAAAATGTATCTGAAAGTACTTTCTCATCTCTTAATTATGTTGGTATTCCTTTTTTTGGTCACAGGGATATAGGGTTGTTGTATAAGATATTATACTTACATTAAAAGTACATATTATTTTCTTTAGAAATTATCTTTTAATTTTAAATAATACATTTTTAATAAAAAGTAGTTAATTCTAAACTAGAATCTTCAGATACATAACATTTGTATTTGTAAGTATTTGTAATATGTGAATTTGCTTTTCTTTTGCAATTATTAGTAAACTGGATTGCATAAAGCCTGGTATATATTGTTTAAGATGACATTTACTACCATTTCTAAAATAAAATACTAAGTTCATTAGCAAAATTAGCATTAGCATCTGTGCAACATATTTTTTCACATTTTTCAAATTTTAAAACCTGGCTAATTGCAGTGCCTGGATGGCTCAGTCTGTTGAACGTCTGACTCTTGATTTTGGCTCAGGTCCTGATCTCAGGGTCATGAACTTGAGCCCTACGTTGGGCTCTGCTTGTGGCGTCTGCTTGAGATTCTCTTTTTCTCCCTCTGCCCCTTCCCGCACTTGGCACACTCTTACTCTCTCTCTTTCTAAATAAATAAACACAATCTTTAAAAAAAATCTGGTTAATTGCATATTGATTAATTTTTTTCTTTTGTTCATTCCAAATTATTTTCTCTGTATTTTACTTTATTGTAGGCATGTATTGCAAGAAACTGTTATCCTTCTCCCCTGAATTATTATAATTTCCCAAAGTCTTGTTGTACTTCAGTGAATGAAGTGATCTGCCATGGGATTCCAGACAGACGGCCCTTGCAAGAAGGTGATATTGTTAATGGTAAGAAATATGTAAGTGTGACTTTTATCCCCATCAGTGAAACAACAGCAAGATTTTGGACATCTGATAGTGACTTCATTTTGTTCACTTTGTTCCGGTCTTGACTTACCCTTTTTTTGTATTTAAAATGTAAAAGAAATCCTAAATATATGGAAACGTTTTTTAATGATTTTAAGATATTGCTTTTAAGATACTTCTAGTATATGTTTGGTACAGCATGAATTTCTTTAATGCCAGTTATCGTATGTGAATGATAAATAGGTGAAAGATGAGTGAAATGTGGAAGTAATGTTCATTCAGCTGGGATATTTTTCCCCTTTTCCTTTTAGTCCACTGATGATTTTGAAGAGATCAGGGCAGGTTTTCTTACAGATAAGAAGTTTTTAGTAACATCTGAAGACCCTAAGAAAATAGCTAAAATCCTACAGAAGTACAGAAGCCTTCCTTGATGTAAAAAGTTCAGAACGTAGCTCTGAGGACCACTGTGTTAAGCTCTCTTGCAAGTGTAGAGGAAGGAGCTGCCAAGACATTTCCCTCTGGGATTAAAAGACATAGTGACAAGCTGGTGCAGACCACGTATGAGTGCCTGATGCAAGCCAAAAAAGGCATCCCTAGATGGCATTTTTAATATTGATGAACTTGGTCTCATTAGTAATCAGATATCTTCAAAGGCTTATGTATCAGATCGGGAAGCATGAGCCCAAGTGGTGAAGGCTGCTGGGGATGCAGTGCCCGCGATGCTGGCTGGGTGCAGTGCTAGAGACAACGGACACCTCTTATTCTGGTTATAACAGGGGGGCTGTTTATGAAATGCCATAGGTGTTGAGATATCTGCCTGAACTCTTTTTTTTGTACAAACCCTGTTACTTTTATTACATGCATAATGTGTGTGGTTTTTCAGGAATATATGTGTCATGCTAGCCAACACACTATATTGTGATCTTGTAGGTTGGTTGAAAATTCATGGTTTAAAAATACTAATTTAATGTATACATTTAGTGTTTTATATACTAGTAGTCTGTCCTCTTAAATATGGGGACAACGGGAGGGATGAATATTCACAAATAAGGAGAAGGCAGATGAGTTTTTGAAAAAACAAATATAGAATAGCGTAAGCGTTTCTATTTATGGATGTGCTTGGAGGAGGAAAAACTCATTGAAGATGGTAAGTGAAAGTATTTTCTGTTTAATGTCAAAACGTAGCATAACTCTCCATTTAATCCTATTAATGTGACTTACTGATCTTGCATGAACGTGTCCTCAGTAGGTTTCTTCTGCCGCCCATGATCTGATTACTGTTGTATGTATAGAAGCCCATCATCTGGCTTGTGCTGTGTGACCACTCCATTTTCTCCACAGTGAGTTTAGTTACAGGCAAGGGGTGTTTTTCAGGAATTCACTGTATATATCCCTTAGTGTCTGCTTGGAGAATGCAGTAATTGTCTTGCTCCTGAAACTGCTTGATGCTGCCATGTTGGAGAAGTGACTTGTATTTTGAAATAAAAACAAATGTGGCCTTTTTATTTGTCCGTTGTTTTGCAGTGGACATCACTCTTTATCGCAACGGTTATCATGGGGACTTGAATGAGACGTTTTTTGTTGGAGATGTGGATGAGGGAGCGCGGAAGCTGGTGCAGACCACGTATGAGTGCCTGATGCAAGCCATCGATGCAGGTCAGTGTCTGTGCTGGGCACCCGCTGGAGCTGCTCTGTGTTGATGGGCCTCACCTGGCTCTTTATTGCATTCCGTGTCCCTACCAGTTCTGCCTCTACCCTAGCTTGAGTTTCTTAGGATTTTAGCAGTGATGGATTTACAGGTGATTTGGGAGTCCCTTGATGAGCTGGACCAGGACCAGATGATTGCTTATCATCCTTTATCTCTTCTGTGATTTGTTAGCCTTTTCTTTGGCTGATAAATGCGGAGGAATGTATAGTTCTTGAGTGCAGTTTGTTTTCCTTGTTAATTCTTTTACAAGTATTATGTTCTCATAAAAAAACAAGATGCTAGATTATGAGAGAAAAATGAATGATCTTCCTTTATACTTACCTCTTTCCTTTTTATGTCTTTTTAAATCTACTTTTAACATTTAGGTTTTTTCCTACTTCTAACATTTAATCTTTTTCTCCCCTGTGTATTAACAGACAGACAGACCACATATACCTGTATGTATGTTTTGTTAAGTTAAATGGAGTTATAGTGTTGGTAGTAGTATGTAATTTAATATTTTCTCAATAGGATCTTTATGAGTTTTCCCAATTAGCGTATATATCTGCATGCATAAATCTACTCCCTTCTTTTAATGGCTATATATTATATTCCATAGTGTAAACATTTACAGCTATTCCCCTACTGGAATTTGGTGTTTTCTAGGTATCTTGCTACTATAGTGAATAATAACTTTTTGTGTGTGTGTGAATATATTTCTCTAGGCTTTTGCTCAGGCTTTCTTTTTCCATACAAACAGCTCATACAGATATTTTTTTGGTTGTTGTTTATACTTTCTTAGGAGGAGAGAGAAGGAATGGCTTGTTCGGAATACTAGCAGACTGTTACTAAAAGGACAGTTTGCATGCAAACAACATTTTCAGTTGAAACCCACAACATTTTAGCTGTATTGTTTAGTATATTATCTGTGCCACCCCTCACCCCCCTCCACCCCCTGCACAATAAACCTAATACATCATCAACAAAGTATTGGACATGACCAGGTTTTTTGACAAACACATAGTTATCTCTAATGACATAGATTTGTTATTGTTTTGAGTCTATTTTAACATGCATGGGAGATGATAAGATTTTTACTAATAAATTTGGAGAAATGAGAAATGAAAACGTGATATTCTCAGGTGTCCGTGTATGAGAGGGTATGAGATTTCTTTTTACTTATTATTCATTGTGGATTATTTAAAAACTAATATTCTTTAGTGTTTAGTTTCTCATTTGTGGAGGTTGGAGTTTAAAATAACTTTTAAGGTTTTTGCCAGATTATGTCTTCAATGTTTATGTCCTTTTTGCTTTTCTGTGAGTTGATTTAAGTAACCAGACAGTAAAAGTGTTGTTTTATGGGGTGCCTGGGTGGCTCAGTGGGTTAGGCCGCTGCCTTTGGCTCAGGTCATGATCTCAGGTTCCTGGGATCGAGTCCCGCATCAGGCTCTCTGCTCAGCAGGGAGCCTGCTTCCCCCTCTCTCTCTCTCTGCCTGCCTCTCTGTCTAGTTGTGATCTCTCTCTGTCAAATAAATAAATAAATAAATAAATCTATCTTTAAAAGTGTTGTTTTATGAAGACTCGGGAATGAAACTTGCCAAGAAGCTATCAGAAACTGAGGTCTTCATAACAGTAGCCAGGAAGGAATAAAAGTTGCCTGATCTCTGGAAAGTGCTATTAATACCATGTGTATCATTCTTGCCCCCAATTTTCTGTTAACTTGGCAGCTGAGTGTGGTGCAGCATAGTAGAGAGCTTCACTTGTGTTGACATTCTCCTTCTAGGATAGGGCTTCTCAGCCTCTCCGTTACTGGTATTTGGGGTCTGAGAGTTCTTTGTTGTGGGGCCTGTCCTGTGCATCATAGGATGCTTAGCCACGTTTCTGGTATTTACTCGCCAGACACCAGTTGCACGGCCGCTCCTACTTGTGACAGCCAGAAATGTCTCTGGATTTTAATGAGGTGCATCCTTGGCGTGAGAACTGCCTCGGGTTTGAGAACTAGGGAGGAATCTCTTCTCTTCTACTTGCTCATTATTTTTGAACAGGGATTTTCTTTGTTGTATATTGTGCAAAATGAGTTAAAATTTTGCTTTCCCTCCCCCACAACTGGGACTGATAGGAAGTCTCCGATGGGAATGCAAGCAAATCATTATGAAAGTCAGCATGGTTCCTCAAAATTATTAACATACTACCCTCCCCACCCCCCAAAAAAGAACATCTGGAACATAGAGTTAAGTGCAAGTATATATTAACTGAAATGATTACTAGAGCTATTTTCTCAGAGATTTGCTTGGCTGGAGGAGATACATTGTATCTGAACCTCAGCTTGCAAATCAGGCAGAGTAGGAGACTGTATGGAGTCTGAGGACCCCAAGAACCATGGCTAGGTTCCCCAGGAGTCTGACAGGGCCCAGCTCCTGGGGTCTCAGTGCTAGGGGAGCCAAAAGAGCAATGAGAACCACTTCGTTTGTTTTAATTTTGATTGAAACAGTGGTAAAAGTCATAAAAATTAAGCAGAGCAAGAATATGTAATAGGAAGTATCTTTCTTTTAAAAGATTATATTTGAGAGTGGGGAGGGGCAAAGGCAGAGGGAGAAGTAGGCTCCCCGCTGAGCAAGGAGGCTGATATGGGGCTCTATCCCAGCACCCTGGGATCATGGCCTGAACCAGAGGCAGAGACTTCACTGATTGAGCCACACAGGCGCCCAAGAAGTATCTTTCTATACCATACCTGTCGGACTGTGTTCAGAGTTCAGAGGCAGCTCTGAATAATTTTAGGGTCACTTTTATGGGGATAAAGAAGCCCAGGGGAAGTAATTCTTTGAGAAATTGATCAGACTGAAACTGAGGACAAGTCAAGTTACTTTCTGGACATTCCTTTTTCTCCCAGTGCTCTCTCCTTTCTTACCTCTTCTGCTTACTTTAAAAGACTAGCACACTTGGGGCACCTGGGTGGCTCAGTCAGTTAAACATCCAACTCTCGAATTCATCCTGGGTCATGATCTCAGGGTCATGGGATCAAGACCTGTGTTGGGCTCTCTGCACTGGGTATGGAGCCTGCTTTAAGATTCTCTCTCTCCTGTGCCACCTCCTCTGCTGCACCCCCATCTCTCTCTCTCAAAAGAGCAGCACACTTGACCTTAGAGAAGGAGAGGAAGACATGCATGTTTTCCCCTCTTTTGTTTATTAAGAAAACAAAAGGTATGTCTCCCCAAGCCCTTCGTACTGCACCTATATGTCCTTTTCTACACTGAAGGATGGAGTACAGACAGGTGCTACTGGTTTGAATCTCAACTTCACCATTTACTGGTGGTACAGAATCTCTGTCCCTTGGTTTCCTCATCTGAAAGTTTTGTACATAATTTGTTTATGTGGAGGCGTATAATGGAGGCATGTAAAGCATTTAGAAAGGTTGCTGGTGCATAGATAGTAGTTGCTCAGTAAATATTAGTTGTTATTACTCTTCGTCATGACTCTTCTTTTTTCCTTTCAGTGAAACCTGGTGTTCGATACAGAGAATTGGGAAACATTATTCAGAAGCATGCCCAAGCAAATGGATTTTCAGTAGTTCGAAGCTATTGTGGGCATGGAATCCACAAGCTTTTTCATACAGCCCCCAATGTACCCCATTATGCCAGTAAGTACTCTCCAAACACTTGGTCTTTGTTAGCCATTTATTCAACTCATATTTATTTAGACATTCAACAGGACCTACGATTTTGTACTGACTTACCTATAAGCTGTTAGACATGGACCGCCAAAATGTATACTTGCTCATACCTAGCACACATTTGTATCTTGCTTAAGTAACAGTCCAGTGTGTGTTTGCTGACTGTTGAGGGTGGTGGCAGGGCAGTTACTCTGTGATCCAGTTCCTCTTATCTTCTATCTGTCACTTCAGGTTACTCTTCTAATCTGTAGATACTGGGAAGGACGGGAAGTATGTTTGGAAGAAGGGGTATGTTTGGAAGGTTTTGATGAACCAGTCTGGAATTGGCATAAATCTCTTACATTGACTTCTCATTGGCAGGAATGCAGTCACAAGGCTGTGCTAACTGCAGAGGAGGCTGAGAAATGGAATCTAGTTGAGTACTCAGAAGAAAAGTAAACTAGTTTTGGTGAACAGCTAATAGCCTCTGCCATGGGTCTAGCTATCATTATTCTGATTCCTTAAATGAAACTGGTTTGGTTTGGTTTGATTTCGTACTGTACGTCAGATACTACTATTTGTTGGTATAAATTCAGGGGAATAAACAGAGTACTTTTCCTCAAGTTGAGTGGTGTTGGATAGACTATCAAAGGAAGTGTGGGACAGTTGATGTCTTCCAGAAACCTTTTCTCTTGGAGAGCCAGGGTATGCAGGAATAAGTCTGCTATTTAGTGCTAAAAAGGAAAACGGTCTACACTATGTGACCTGAGAAAAAATTTTATTTTTTATATATATTTTTTTTGAGAAGGAATTTTAATATGTATGTATGAGTCGTTGCTATCTAGACACTTGCACACAGCTTCTTGTGCTTCAGTTTTCTCGTCTTGAACAATAAATGGCACCTCCCTGAGAAGGGTTCGTAGGAGTGAGACAGAGAATATGTGGGGAGCACTTAATGTTAACTTTCAGAATGATCATGATGAGGATGATGATATACATTATTTCATTTGATCTAACCATTCTGAATAATTTCTTAGCCTTATTTATTTATTTATAAAGTTCCACTGGGTGTGGAGCCTACCATGGGCTTAAACTCATGACCCTGAAATCAAGACCTGAGCTGAGATCAAGAGTCAGATGCTTAACCGACTGAGCCACCCAGGCGCACCATTAACCCTATTTTAAAGAGCAGACTGTGAAGGAAGAGAGAAAGAAAGAAAGAAGGAGAGAAAGAAAGATTGATTATTTGCTTAGAGAAGTAACTTTATTCAGGTTCACACAGACTAGTAAATAAATTATAGGGCTAGGATTGGTACCTGGGTTCTGTCTTTCTAGAGGCAGTCTTTATTTCTGTACTTTGTGCTGCCTGGTGAGGACTGAAGTAGTTGGAGGCAGGTCCTGTGAGAGAAATACGGAACCATTGAAATTTTGGTTCAGTGGAGAAGATGAGGAAGAACATTCCAGGTATAGGGTATCATGAGCAGATGCTTGAGGTTGAGACTGAATAGAGACAAGATAAGTTGGGGCTGAGTATTTTGTGTTAAAAGCTAGCAGTAGGCAGTTCCAGACCGAAGATAATTGACTTCATTTGCAGGGATTTGCAAAAACATTTTTGAGCAGAATGACAAGGTGAAGTGCTATTTCAGGAGGACAGGTTTGGCAGTGGTATCTAGAACGTATTGCAGGTGTGAGCGACTCAGGCTAGCCAGCCCGATGCACAGTTGCTGCAGTTGAGATGTGAAGCTGGAAAATCCTAGGTGTCAGTCGTTGCGAAGAAAAGGGAAATGAGTGAGAAGCCTCTCAGCGGGAGAAGCTGGGGAAGTAGTTTAGAGCACAGCATTTGATATATATCAACAAACATTTACTAGCAGACCACAGAGTTCTTATTTAAGCTGTGAATTGTGCTTGAAATAAAAACTAGCAACAGAAAATAAGTTACTAACTTAATTCCTTCCTGGGAGGCCCTGTAGTGGTCCAATGTGCATTCCATTAACAAAATGGAGGTAGCTGGTGTGATTACAGTGATACAGGCGTATGTTTGTATATGTATGTGTAAAAAGAGTGTGTGCAGGGGAGGGGGTGGAAAAAGTCCCTTTACTTACTGAATTGACAAACTCAGGTTTAGATATGGATTATATAAAGAGAGACTGAAGAAGATAGAATTTATGGGAGAAGGGGATATGGGTCAGTGATGATTGTGTCCATAAAGCACATAAAACCATTTAATTAGTAAAAAATGATTCTGGAAAAAGAAGCAAGGACCAGACATGTACTTGTTTCGTAAATTTGAAACATTTATGAAAACTCCAGTGTAAATTGGGTTTGTGTAAATTGGGTTTATTTAAATTAGAATAGGTTGTGATCACTTTAGGGAAGTGTAAAAGAAAACTGTCTTTGTAAAGAGGAGACCTTTTGAAATGTAAATGATCCCTGCTTTGGCTTGTCGGTCCATATTCCTAACCGACTGAAGGTGAAACCAGGAAATTTTGTGTAACTTCCTTCTCTATGTAAGAGAAGTCCTTGTTAGTTTAGAGTGATGTCCTTTAAGTCATCATGGTTGGGAAGTGATGATGATAATACCCTATATTTAGAATGTATTTTACAGTAATTCTTTGAGGTAGATGGTAGACCAAGTACAGCTTTTAAAAAAGTACTTAGTATAGTATCTGCAGTACTATCGTCAATCAGATAAGGTACATTTGCTGAATGAGGTATGTTGAGAAACTGAAACCATGAGTCAAGTTGAGTGGGAGTTGTAACTTTTCTAGAATAATGAGTCAGTGGCAGAAACAGGAGTGGAACTAGATTTCTCTGTATCAGCACTGTCTGCTCATAATGTCTTATTAGGCACATATGTAATTTAAAACTTTCTTGCGGTCATATTAAAAAAGTAAAAAGAAATAGGTGAAACTAATTTAATGGTCTGTTTTATTTAATACATTGCATTCACAGTGGAAGTATTTCAACATTGGGTCAATGTAAAAATGATCGAGATTTGTTACATACTTTGTCTTTGAGATTGACTCATTTTTTTATACTCTGAGCCGATACCATTCTGACTGGCCTCTTTGCAAACACTCCTTGGTTTAGTGCACTGGCTGCAGTGGGACAGCTCAGCCCCAGAGGCCTTTATCCTTTTCCTTTCTGTGACACCACACAGACACTCTTGACATTAAAAAAATATACATATATCTCCAGGGATTATGACCAGTTCTTTATATGTAGTAAGTTGCAGTCACTGGGAAAGAAGGTTCATGGGATTAGAAATAGAAAGTCAAAATTACGTTTTGCCTCTCAGATTTTATGACCATTTACAAACTCCTGATTTTAAAATCTGCAGTAAGTGTATTTTGGCAATACCTAAGATAGTGGGGAGCAGCATGGTAGCTCTGCACAAGGAAGATGTGCAGGTAAAAACGTGTGGGTGAGATGAGACCATACCCAGGAAGAATGGTGTTTAGTAGATGCAATCTCCAGATTGCATCTCCAGAAGTGTCCTTTCCTGAAGTCCCCGTGGTGAGAGCAGCCTGAAAGCCAGTGCCTTTGCCATCTCGTGGTCAGGCAGAGCAAGTGCAGCCTCTTGTTCGCTGATGTTCACATCCGTTCTTGTTTTTGAATTTGAACTTTAACCTGGTTCTCCATTTTTGTCTGACATTGTCTCCAAAGATCTGTCCCTATTATTACCTTTTAGCCTTTTTTGGAGGATGGCAGGTCTGGATACTGGAATTCATAGTTGTGTTTCTCATGATGGTCCTGAAAAATACTCTCATGTTCACGCACAATGTGTACTCTTACCAATGAGCTGTTCAGGAGCACACTGTTGAGTTTTTGCTATGTTTTGAGAATTTTATTTTCTTTAATTTCAGAAAATAAAGCAGTTGGAGTGATGAAAGCGGGCCACGTATTTACAATTGAGCCAATGATTTGTGAAGGTGAGAAAAAGGGTTGCTGTAATGTCTTTTAATTGTATTTTTATTTACTTTTAGTTATTCATGATCAGATTAGTAGTCTGCTCTGTTTATTTTCTTTTTGGTTTATTTCCACTTCTGTCCCATCTCAAGCTCAATTCAATATCATGTAGAGAACTGAGACTTGTAAGGGTTGTCAAGAAAGCAATCCTTTCTGCCTGCTAATTCTGCTCTCAGTAGATGCTCAAGTACTTGAATCCCAGTCCCTTTTAATGAAAGACTCTATCAAGGGGGGTGTTGTTGACAGTCCTGAGTCTCCACCGTGCGGAGCTTGCTTGGTGAGGGTCCAGGTGGAGGAACGAAGAAGTAGAGCCATTCACTTTGAGACAGACACAGGTATATGTTTAATTCTCCACAACGTGTGAGGTAGGTGCTGTCCCCATTATGTAGAAGAGCAGACTGATCCTTGTTTAAAGTCACGAGCTAGTTCTATGACAGAGTTTGTCTGACACTAACCTCAGGAGCTGTTCTGCCCCTTCAGGTTCTGTGCTCAGGCCGTCTGAGGAAAGCACAGCTCAGACAAGCTTAGTGCTGGCAGATAGGTGCCCTCACTGTCACTGGTCCCCATGGCAGGCTTGTGGTCATGATGAAGATCCAGTGGCATGATTAGGACTTCTCACCCAGAGGCTCATGTGTTCCCTTCATCTTTCTTCTCAGCCAGTTCTCTGCTGGATTAGGGGTTGCAGTGAGGCAGTGGTAGTGGGGCCCGTGTGTCCTGGGGCCTCACTGAAGGATACCTCCTTTCTGGATCCTTCCAGTCTTTTTTATAACCTGATCTTGGGAGTGACATCCCATTATTTCTGCCAGATTGCAGTCACTTAGGAGTGAGTCACTGAATCCAGCTCACAGACTGGTTTATAACATGGTACTTTGCTGCCTTTTCTGTAAAGTGGAAATGACATTCTTGAACCTGTCAACTCCCCAGGGCTGCTCTAAGAATTGAGACGATTTATGGTAGCACAAAATACCTTGTGTATCTTAGAGAGCTATACAGATGTAAGGTATTGTTTTTGTCATCCTCATGGAATAACAATGAAGTTCTGATCACATGGAACCAATTGCAAGGGCAGTAAGTATGTTAGACAAAGGCAAGGAGCTCAGAGGAAAGTGTTTTGGTCATACACCTGTTTTCGTTAACTGGCACCTAGTTGGTGAGACATAATGTGGTATTTCCAGGTATGAGCAAATAACTTTCCAAGGAGCCTGGTCAGATAGTCATCAAATTATAATGCATATACTTCAGTGTAGCTCAGTGAGGTTAAATCCTACCTCTGGAGTGGAAAGTTTCAAATCCAAAGAGGAATTTGTATTTTCTCAGGATAATATCCAGGCATGTTTTACTTGACATTAGTGTAAAGAACCTGTTTTAAGCAAATCACAATAAAGTCAGAGGAGTATTGTATCTTAAATCAGAAGGTGAAAACGTTACTCATTACATCAGAAAATACCCAGTCACTTGTCTTTAGATGTTTGACAAAGCATGAGTTAACTTTCTTCAAGCTGCCTCATATTTTTTCTTTTTAGGCTGGGATTTAATATTGTAAAAGTAGGTTACTTCACTGCAGAGTTTATGTTCTGGGATTTTACTGAGTCAGTGAGACCTAATCTTTGATAAAGATTACTCAGAATGAGGGTTGTATTGATTTTTTGACCTCTAATTTGGAGACAAAGTAAGTCTCTGTAAACACAGTTTCATAGCAATATCCAGAATTGTAGAACTTTCTCATTTTACTTCCACCTCTCTCCCCCACTCTCCTTTTCTCTCTCTCTCCCCCTCCCCGTGCGCCCCCCCCATTCTTTCATTGTCTTAGGGCTGTTTTCACTGTCCCTTAGTATCCTTTCTCTAGTCTTAGCCCCTCCCTAACCTCTTTCGCCTCACTGTAATTTCTTAACTTCCCTCACCAAGCTCTTAGCCCTGTCTTCTGCTTAACAGGAGTGTGTGGTCCACAGAAATTACACAGTATAATCTGTTCTCACCATCTGTGTGCCTGCCATTTAAAAATAATATCAGGAATCAAGTGCTATAATAGAAGTATAAAAAGATTATATTCTTCACAGTATGCATTGGCTGTAGTTTAGTCAGATGCCAAAGTTAAACCAGAAAAGAGCTAAGTTCATTAATTCAATTTTTAACTCATAGTTCTATAGTGAGTGGTATCAATATATTTTCTGAAATGAAACCCAGTGCCTTTATTTTGGAAATACCATCTTGATTTGATATTTGGGAGGTATAAAGAACCTGAAATTATAACATATCCAAGGAAATTTAAAATGTCATCATTACTTCATTGGACTAAGGACCAAAATCAAGTTGGAAGGACTAAAACAGTTGAAGTATAAATAGGAATCTTCGTTATTATTACTGAAGTCTAGTTGACGTGAAGTCTGTTAACGGTAGTTTCAGGCATCCAGTAAACATACTGATTGGACAGTACTGTATCAGTGCCCATCATGGTAAGTAAGTATAGTCACCATCTATCACCATATAGCATTACAATATTATTGACTGTATTTCTCATGCGGTACTTTTCATCTCTGTGATTTGCTTATTTTATAACTGGAAGCTTGTACCCCTTAATTCCCATTATCTATTTCCTGCCCCCCCCTTTCTCCCACCACATACCGACCCTCTGGCAACACCAGTTTGTTCTTTGTATTTAAGAATCTGTTTGTTTGAAAATTCGTTTGTTTTGTTTTTTAGGTTTCACATATAAGTGAAATCATAGGGTTTTTTTCCTTTGTCTGACTTATTTCACATAGCATAATACCCTCTAGGTCTACCCATGTTGCAGCAAATGGCACAATCTCATCCTTTTTTATGGCTGTGCAGTATTCAATCGTGTATGTATACCTTATCTTCTCCATTCATCTATCAGCAGACGCTTGAATTGCTTCCATATCTTGGGTATTGTAAATAATGCTACAATAAATGTAAGGGTGTATGTATCTTTTCGAATTACTGTTTTTGTTTCTTTAGGTAAATACCTAGTAGTAAAATTACTGGATCGTATGTAATTCTAAATTTTTTTTTTCAAGATTTTATTTATTTGATAGACAGAGATCACAAGTAGGCAGAGAGGCAGGCAGAGAGAGAGAGAGGAGGAAGCAGGCTTCCCTCTGAGCAGAGAGCCCGATGTGGAGCTCGATCCCAGGACCCTGAGATCATGACCTGAGCTGAAGGCAGAGGCTTAACCCACTGAGCCACCCAGGCGCCCCGTAATTCTAAATTTTTGAGGAAACTCTACACAAGTTTTCACAGAGGCTGCATCAGTTTGCATTCCTACCAACAGTCCATAAGATTCCCTTTTCTCTGTTTCCTCACCAGCACATGTTATTACCTTCTTGATTTTAGCAATTCTGACATGTGTGAGGTGTTATCTCATTGTGGTTTTGATTTACATTTCCCTGATGCCAAGTGATGAGAGGGAGGGAGAACACGAGAGTGGGGGAGCTTCAGAGGGAGAAACAGATTCTCCACTGAGCAGGGAGCCTGATGCGCGGGCTTGATCTGGGGACTCCAGAATCATGACCTAAGCCGAAGGCAGATGCTCAACTGACTGAGTCACCCAGGTGCCCTTCTTCTGCCCATTTTTAATTGGATTATTTGTGTGGGGTTTTTGTTGTTTTAGTGTATAAATTCTTTTCTTTCTTTCTTTCTTTCTTTCTTTCTTTCTTTCTTTCTTTCTTTCTTTCTTTTTTTTTTTTTAAGATTTTATTTATTTATTCAACAGAGAGAGAGGGAACACAAGCAGGGGGAGTGGAAGAGGGAGAAGCGGGCTTCCTGCCAAGCAGGGATCCCAGTGTGAGGCTTGATCCCAGGACTCTGGGATCATGACTTGAGGCAAAAGGAGGCGCTGAACGACTGATCCACCCAGGCAACCCTGGTGTATAAAATCTTTATGTATTTTGGATATTAACCCCTTATTGGATATATCATTTGTGGATACCTTGTCCCATTCAGTAGGTTGCTTTTCTGTTTTGTGGATGTTGTTGTTCGCTGTGCAAAAGCTTTTTATTTTGGTGTAGCCCCAATAGTTTTTTTTTTTTTTTTTTTTTTTTTTTAGATTTCTCTGTTTATTTGAGGGGGATGCAAGGAGAGGAGCAGAGGGAGAAAGAATCTCAAGCAGACTCCATGCTCAGCACAGAGCCCAAGCCAGGACCCAGTCTCATGAAGCTGAGATCATGACCTGAGCCAAAACCAAGAGTTGACACTTATCCCACTGAGCCACCTGGGGACCCCCTGTAGTTTATTTTTGCTTTTGTTTCCCTCATCTGAGGATACAATTCATAAATATGTTGATGAGGCTGATGTCTAAGAGATTACTGCCTATGTTTTCTTGAAGAAGTTTCATGGTTTCAGGTCTCACATTCAAGTCTTTTATTCATTTTGAGTTTATTTTTGTGTGTGGTGTTAAGAACACGGTCCAGTTTCATTCTTTTGCATGTAGCTGTCCACCATTTGTAAGTAGGTGTCCTATAGTGAATTTTCTAATTGTTTCTGTGATATCTCAGCATATGGGAGTACATGCAAATACACTTACCTCAAGAGTTTGTTGAGAAAACTGAGTGATAGAATTAAGAAACTGTTTTGTTTGTGTGTTTAAGGTGGATGGCAGGATGAAACCTGGCCAGATGGCTGGACCGCGGTGACAAGAGACGGGAAGCGGTCTGCTCAGTTCGAGCACACCCTGCTGGTCACAGACACGGGTTGTGAAATCCTGACGCGGCGACTCGACAGCACGCGGCCTCACTTCATGTCCCAGTTTTAATTCCTCCTGAGATGGCGCATCTCGATAATACCTTCTGGCTGTACTATGCATTTTATAGAGAGTACAGAATGGAAGGGGAAAATTTTTATTACTTGTTTTGTTTTGACTATAGATAAGGAAGGACTCCACCTTTGGATGAGTGTCCTCCAGAACTTGTCTCGGGTCTGGAAAAGCTGAGAAGAATAAAGGAGACATTCTCAACTCTTTTCAGTGCTCCCCTGTCCCTCCAGAAATCTCTGCACCCCCGTTTTCTCACTTGGCCTTTGAGCACTTTTTACTTAAACCTGCTTCTAGTTGCTTTTATCACTGCCACAACTGGGCCAGCAAGAGCCAGCTGTTCTCCAGGTGAATGTGGAAGATGAGAATCCTTGAAACTTTAGCAACATATGTTGTTCCAGATTTTTTTTTATTCTATATGTATGGAAATATATATGTATACGTTTTAAATTCCATGTATGTAATTACCGAACACTATATGACCTGGGTTTGTGTTGATTCTGCTCTGACAGGGTTATATGCTGTCATAAGTGGACCCATAGTTTGCAGTGATTCATTTCCCAGTTGGGAATTGGCCTCCCTCCTTCCCCATGCTGATTATTTACCCTTGTAATTGTGTGTAAGGAAGCACTCAGTCATTGAGACTCTCTCCAATGTGGACTCTGTCAGTGAGTGGACGTGGCAAAATTCACTTTGGAAAAGGGTTGTCAGCTTTTTAAAAATCTAGTTTATGGCAAAAATAGCCATGCTTCAAATGGTAACCGACTGTTGCAGAGCATGAGAATTTTGTAAATGTTGCTATTTCAGACCTCTGTTTGGTCGAAATGGGAGGGAGAAAGCTCCCTTTCTTCCCCTCTGTTTTATTTCAAGGGCACACCTTGGAGATATTCAGAGAAGGGTGAAGGTTGCACTGTGGAGGTTGATGGGAAGAGACAGTTCTGAAATCTCTTTAGCAGCAAGCAGAGTTAAGTCTGGTGGACTGTTAGCTTCTGACATTTAGCAAACCTGGTACTGATGAAAAAGGAACTTCTTCCGAGACTGGACTGTTTCCTTGCGGTAGCGGTGCAGCTGTCCTTGGTGTGTTGAAAACACACTTTACCTTTACGTAGTTGGGAACCTCCTTAGAAATGACCTCAGCTGCCCAATATCTGTGTTCCTTTCAGTAGTTCAGTCCAAATGGGAGTGTATCCAGTGAACACATATCAGGTCGAAGTTACTGTCATTGGAGCGTACTTGATTACTGGGTATCTGGTAACTTTCTTTAAGATAATTTGATACCACTGACATGTTAATACGAGAACATCTTTCCCAGAGTGCCTCAGACCTTTATTGCTTTAAAAGAATTATGATAATGTTTTCATTACTTTTATTATTTTAATGATTTAGTGAAGTGACTGAATCTGGTATAGACTTTGGGGGTATGTGTGTGAAGTTTTTTATCAAACTGTAATATTTGTGAATGGAATGCCTTGCAATATGAATGTTAATATAATGTGTAAAGGGAGATTAAAAGTTTGAGTGATTATCCTGCTGTGTAGTCATTAACTTTGCTGCATTTGTTGGGGATTTCAGAGGGCAGTGGTGGGAATAGGGTGGGTGATTTCATAATCTCAAATAAACTCCATGACCATTTGAGTAAAAAAGATTCCAGTACTGTGTTTGTTTCAGCAGAGTCTATCAGCAGCATTTGAGATGCAACCATATTTTTGAGAGCTAATTTTAAGATCGAGTGCTGAAAATTTAGGGGAGCATCTTATGTACTGATTGTGGAATTAACAGTAAGGGCTTCTTTAATGTCTGTCCTTAGAAAATAAGCTCAAGGGGAAAAAGTCTTGTTGGGATAGTTTTGGAAAAGATAAACCAACACATTGGTGATGATGCTTTTTTCGGTTTGGGAGATTTCAAAACAATATGGACTCTAGTCTAAATGTAAATATCTAATATCAGATGTTTCTTAGATTTAGATGAAAACATCAAGTTATATCATTCTGCCAACTTTTCACCAAAATAAGTCAGTAAATTTAAGTTTCCATTTTTTGGTGTTAACTTTTAAAATAATAAATACATTTTTTCCTGCTATTCCTTCATCTTCCTTGGGATTATAATTTAGAAGCAGGGAAACATGTTTGCCTTTTATCTTCATTTTATGTCTTTTGCTGATAAAATGGATTAAGGTACATTAGAACCCACACACTGACACTTCTATACCATTTGCCACAGGTCAAAATTAATAGGAAGAGGGTTAGGAATTGTTTGCTATCTTAGCTTGATTCATTTGACCTGTAACCACATTTGGCTTTTCTTTCTGTTAGGTGAGAATAGAAGGGCTGGTGCTTCACTTGGCTAAGGTCCCCCAAATCACCCTCCTGGTATCTGCTGTTAACTTCTTAAAAATATATTTTTTTTACGTCCAGCCTTTTATTTTGAAAATTTTCAGATTTACATAAAAGTTAAATGTATAGTACAACGAAATAATCCTAAATCCTTTTCCTGTGTTCAGTGCCCATTACTTGGCTGCATCTCTCTCTTGAGGTACTTCCTTTTGAAAGAAGTTGTTCCATACTTCTCTCATTACTATTGCAGCCCGTCTGTTAGAAGGTAAGCACATTTCCTGTCTGATCATAATACAATTACGGCACCCAAGGAATTTAACATTGATACAGAATTCTCTTAGAGTACACATTCAAACATGAGTCTCAATTTTTTGCTAGTGTTCTTTAAAGCTTTTGTTCTTCTGTGAAAATCCAGGATCCAAACCCATGGCATTTGGTTGTCCCATATCTGTAGTCTTCTTTATTCTAGAACAAGCCTAACTTTTTGGTGTTTTATGGAATTGACACTTAAGCAAGCCAGTTAGCTTGTAGAATTATGTATTTCTCTGTTTCTCATGAGTAGGTTCACTATAAGTATTTTGGCAGAAGAGTGAGCTGATGATATGCAGCATGTCTTTTTCATGGTATCACATGAGGAGACACAATGTTATTGTCACATTGCCAACATAAGTTCGGTCATTTGCCTTGTCAGATCTTTCCATTTTAAGGATATCTTTTCTTAAGCAAATAATCTGGGAGGAGATATTTGGGAGATCATTTTGGTATCCTGTTCACTCCATGGTTTTAACATTCATTGATAATCCTTGCTGGGGTACATTATTTTATTACACTGGGGACTGCAAGTTGAGATTTTCTAAGTCTAGCATTCCATCTACATTATTAGCTGTCACTCTTTTACAAGGAAGCATTTTTTTTTACCCTCCTACCCATTGCTTTTGAGTATCCATATGAGATCATCAATTCATAAAAATTCTGTAAACATCAATTCTTATAAATCAATTACTGTAATTGATCCAAATTTGGCCAGCAGAAGCAACTTTCAGCTTATTCATGTGTCATTTTGACCTATGCCTACCAGTCGTTTCACACTTTCTTGCTTTTTTCCATAACAAGATGTACGTTTATCATACAGTTTTCCTTTCCCTCAATAGGACAGGCTGTTTCTCCAAGGAGCCCTACTTCCTTTTCATGGGAACTGCTATTTGGAAATCAAGATCTGGGTACTACTGGTTGTCATTGTTTCCAGTCACTTTCAGGGAACTGAACAAGGAAATGCATTTAAAAAAAAAAAAAAAATCATGAGTTCATTCTGATACTTTTAAATCTACCACTAATCTTCCTCACCTTTCCCTGTTTCATATTTGTGTCTGCTTTATCCCATGGTGGGAACTTTGGTTCTCAATAACATTAATATTTACTTATTTGCTTGAGTCTATAAGACATGTAAAATTTAGAATTACTCTATCAGAATCACTACCAACAATGAACCTAAGTACAAAATTTGTGATTTTTACTAACTTGGAACATGACTCACTGTGAGAGTACAGAGTATTGGTTTAAAAATTACATGAAGTAATTTTGTTCCTACTATATTCAAAATTTCCTAAACTGAGCTACTTTTTAAAAAAAAAATGTTTTTAATTAACATATAATGTATTACTTGTTCCAGAGGTAGAGGTATGTGAATCATCAGTCTTACACAATTCACAGCACTCACTATAGCACATACTCTCCCCAATGTCCATGACCCAGCCATCCCATCCCTCCCATGCCCCTCCCCTCCAGCAACCCTGTTTGTTTTCTGAGATTAAGAGTCTCTTACAGTTTTCCTCCCTTGGTGAGCTACTTTTAAACAATGAATACAGTGAATGTTGGGGGGAAAACATACAGTAGGAGGAATGGGGGGGTATATTTTAGTGGTCTGGGAGTTAGAAATATTGGAACTGTTTGAGGTAGTGTGATACGATTCTGTCTACATTTGGTGTTTGACTTCTACCACACTCTAACTATAACAGGAGCAAATAATACCACTTTGTAATGTGGATATATGGCCCATTTTGCAGTAGAGAAGAAAATCTGGACATTGATGCCTTAGGAACAAATTGTTTCACAATGTAGGCTACATTATGCTAATATCCTAAAGGTTTTTAATGTGTTGTTTCATTTTAAAAATAAACGTGCAAGGAAAGGTTAGCTTAGCACAGGCTCTGGGGAGAAATTCCCTGGCTCTCCCATGTTTGAACTCCGAGCAGCAAGCAGCCTTTGGTGGCATCCTTCCCCCCCCTTCCTCTTTTGGTGCTAAGTATGACAAAGAAGAATGGGGGTGTGTATTTGGTTATTTTGAGAAAAAGGAAGCAGGAATTAGGTGGCCTTGGCCCCCTGTTACCATTTGCTTTTGGGGGACTGTGGATGAGCAAAAATAGAACTGTCAGTCTATGGCGATTCTGTGGTTATATTAAAAAATGTATCAACACTGGTATATCTTATTCAGATGTGCCAAAAAGTCAAGTCAGTGGAACACTTGAGGAAGGGCTTCCTGGAAAGTTACCAGTAATATGTTTGTTATAGCTTGAAGTATTTCATTAACTTTTTAAAAAATGGATGTTTAATCTTTTTACCATTGTAAAGTTTTCCGGAGAGTAATGGCTTACATCTCCCGAGTGCTTAGCCCTTTTACTGTTACCCCAAGAACAAACAGGCTAACACTTCCAATACCTGTAGATACATCTGTACTTTGGTGTCATGAGAAGAGCACAAGACCAACAGTCAGGACCCCAAGGCTCTGATTTCTCTAATTTTTTACTTGGTTGCCTGACTAGGACAAATCATCGTGCTTCTCTGTGGAGAACTCCAATTTGTAGAATGGTAATCATAACTTAGGAACTGTTTTATTCTATGGATAATGTTGACTGTAAAATTCACATTATTTCAATACCTGGGTCAGGGGTCAACAGAAAATAGGATAGATTTTTTTTTTTTTAATTAAGATTCTATTTATTTTTGAGAGAGAGAGAGGGGAGCTCAAGTGGGGGGAAAGACAGAGGGACCCTGATGTGGGGCTTTACCCCAGGGACCAAGACCTGAGCTGAAGGCAGATACTTAACTGACTGGGTCACCCAGGTGTCCCTCAGGGTAGAAAAAAACTTTATTAGTAAATCTGAGCCCTGAGTGATTCGGAGGAAACAAAATAGCCGAGGATAAGAACATTTAGTATGAAGATGTGTAATTTAGAGAAAGAGCAGTAGGTATTTTAGAGCCCATTTTCACTGTTGATCTTGCTTCATATAGCCTGGTTTTGGTAGTCAAGGACATTTGAGTCCATTCTGAACTGGAGGCGATTCTATGGTACATTAGCACTCCTTTCTTGAAAAGAATATGTGCAAAATTTATCTCATAAGGAATTCTGGTATAATGTCATCACCTTGATAAAAACCAGTCTGCTTAAAAGTCATCCCACCTGCTTTGTCTCAGAAAGAAAAGTTCTACCAAAGCAATTTGTATAATGGAGGACTTTGTATGTCCCTGTTCACTTTGTAATTATTTCTTTAAAGACACAATTTCCTTAGTTCTATGCATTTATTATCTAAATATCTCTTTAAATATAATTTATGTTTTCCAAATATGTTTGTGGTATACTTTTTCTAAATCTGATCTTGTGTATTAACTGAAATAAATTTGGCTGAATCCAGAGTTGGTCTTTTTCCCGGGTCACAAAGTGACTCTAGGCCCAAAGGGACTGTCAGTTACTTTAGGACTTTGATCATCAGCTTAACTGGCAGATTGGTAGGCAAGCAGAAAAAGTTCTGAAGAATTCTGTGCATGGAAAATATGTTCCCTCTATTCCCAAATCAACAAACGTTTTCAGAATTACCAGCTATGTATACTTTTGCATTCAAATGGGATAAATGGAAATAGCATTATGTATATTTTTTGGAACATTGTTTTGTTTGGTTTAAGTTGTACACACATTAACTGGTTCCCTGTGACTTGTTCTGGATATAATGCAGTTTTTTTCCTGCCTCCATCCCCTAAAACCTCATCATTCTATATGTTCCTACTTTATAGGTTAGTTCTCTGCATGTAATAAAGAACTTATTCTAAGTCAGACATGTCTGTCTTTGGACTATCTTACTCTAGTGAACATTAGTAGGGTTAAATAAAAAGAATAGCACAGCATGCTGAAAATAGATATGCAAATAAGATTTGAAAAATATTAGCTAGGTATAGTAAAAATTTTCAGTAAAAAAGATGCTTAGTTATTTTTATTTTTATTTTTTTGAGAGAAAGAGTGAGTGTGGGGGCGGGGAGGGGCAGAGGGAGAGAATCTCAGGCAGACTCCCTGCTGACTGTAGAGCTTGATGCAGGGGGTCAATCCCACAAGCCACGAGATCACAACCGAAACCAAGAGTTGGATGTTTAACTGACTGAGCAACCCAGGAACCCCTAAAATTAGTTCTTAATACTGTAAAATTTTAGGTACTTAAATTAAAAATACATTTTACTAGCTTTCATGAAATATATAATGGGTTAGCCATTTGTGTTAAAATTATGTATCTGTCCAAGAAAGCAGTTTAAGATACTTATAAAAAAAATTCTCAACAATACTTCCAAAGTGGTAGACTCCTAATTTTGGGCAACCAGGGTAGATTTGCTGACATACACACAGTGAATGGATTTTAACCATTTAACTATACCTTCTTCCAAAGCCAATAACATTCTAGATGCCATCCAAGAGGATGTATTAAAAGGATTTTGAAAAAGCTTGAAAGTCCCATGATCCAAGAATCTTTATAATAAGGATCTTATAAACTTGATTGTTTCTGCTAGTTCCTTGAATAGACAATTGTGCTCTCAGCCAGGAAATGCTCCTACTTCTTAAACTGAATTAGCTGGCTCGGGAGTATGTACTTAACTGTGACAGAAATAAAAAGTAAATTCTCTAATTGGCCAGCTACAAGAATTGGAGTTAATTATTTTATATTTAAAAATGGCTTTACTTCTCACACTGGTGAACATAAAAATGCCATCTCATTTGTGTATACCTCATGTATAAGAAAAGCAATGGGGAAAAAAACTTTTTAAAGAATTATTAGCTCTCCATTATTACCCTACATGTCCATTTTCTTAGTGCAATTGCTCAAGGTAATAATATACTTGGTTCCTGGAAGTCTAGGCTAAATCAAACCTGATTAAAAGCCTATTTCTGAAGCTTTGGTAGAAGCTAGTTTTAATTTCTTCTTTTGGTTTTCTCAGGGCAATAGTTTGGGGCTATTGGGCCCCTAGTGCACTCTAGCCCTCTAGCTAAAATGAAAAGCTAGGTTGCACTGCCTACAAATGCACCACAGAACCAAAAAGCAGAGGGCCCGACTATAATTGCCACTTTTCTACTTTTCAGTCAACTAGATGGTGCTCAGAAACACAACATTTTTATAGGAGCAATTAAGCCATATTGTATTAAAACAATAAAAAAAGCACATGGGTTCAATCCAACCAGAAGAGATGTGCATGGCATATCCAATGTGTTGATACAAAGACAGTCTGCAATATGCTTTGTGTAGTCTGAAAGGATATGTATCAATGCTCTTATATGTACTGAAACTTCTGGGAAAATATATAAACTTAACAGTCAACTACGTTTATATTGGGAAGGGAGTGTTGCTCTTCTTATATAGTTTTCTCTATTTGAATTTTCTAACCCTTGGATATGTTGCTTTTATGTTTTATTTTTTTCTATGTCAATGGATTACCTGGATGGGAAGATTATGAATCATTTTTGCTTCTTTATATTGCTTAGGATAAAAAAACATAAATGTTACCTAAGAGCACCACAAAAAGACTGATATATTTGACTCTATTAAAAATAAATATAAGATAGGGGTGCCTGGGTGGCTCAGTGGGTTAAAGCCTCTGCCTTCAGCTCAGGTCACGATCCCAAGATCCTGGGATCGAGCCCCACATCGGGCTCTCCGATCAGCGGGGAGCCTGCTTTCCCCTTTCTCTCTGCCTGCCTCTCTGCCTACTTGTGATCTCTGTCTGTCAAATAAATAAAATCTTTAAAAAAAAAATAAATAAATATAAGATATATTAAAGTAAGATATAAGATGGATGAAGGGCTGGCATCTATAGTAACGCCTAAAAACTACTCGGGAAAAGATAACTAATTCAACAGAAAAATGAGCAAAGTATGTGAATGAATACTTCACAAAAAAGAAAATACAAATGTGTAATAGTACTTTAGTAACTGAGGGGAAAGGCAGCTAAAGCAACAAAATACCATTTCATGTCCATCTCACTTGCTAAAGTTTTCAGCCATTTTGAGGAACAATCTGGCAATTTCTAGTCAAATTAAGATGCGCTAATCCAAGGATATATAGCGGACTCTTGAACAACACAGGGGTTAGGGCTGCTGACCCTCCACACATTTGAAAATCCACATATTACTTCTGACTCCCCCAAAACTCGACTAACAGCTTACTTTCAACTGGAAGGCTTAAGAAACAGCTGATTAACATATTTCTTATATATGTCTTATAAATGGTATTCTTACAACAAAATAAGCTAGAGAAAAATGTTAAAGAGAAAATACATTAACAGTACCATAATGTAAAAAATCCACGTGTAAGTGATCTGTGCAGTTCAAACCCATGTTGTTCAAGGGTCAGCTATACGGCCTAAGTAACTAACACAATCTGCAAGATGTACAGTGGTTGTCACCAGTGTTAGCAAAACAGAAATTGCTCTGGAAGTTGCTTTATGCCATCATTTGGACAGCAAGTAAATTATGTTATTTCATATAACTGAATACTATAGCACAGTATTAAAAACAGCATGACATGATTCATCACACAATAATGAGTAAAAAATGAAAGCTGCAGAATGAGACAGTATCAGGGTTTCCATACCAAAGGCTAGAAGGTTAATGGATATGTATAAAGTATAACAACATGCACGAAGAGTGAAAAACACCAAATTCTGGGTGGTGAGGAAAGGATGTGGGCAGGTATTTCACAAGAAACCTCTGGGGAGGAAAGGCAATGTGATCTAGAATTGGGCAAATGTGAAAAAGTATCTGGAAACTTTGAAATTCAGTATATATTTTTAATATGCTTGAAAGTTCATAGAGCTGCCACCAACACACACACACCTTCTGCCCAGAAGGTAGTTTAATGAAGTTTAGTGCCCACTGTGGGCGAGATGCCATACTAGGAATTAGGAGAGTAAGTCTGAACAAGGCATGGTATCTGTTCTCAAAAATGTACTCTCACAGAGGCTGACCTGGGTTCTGATTAACTTTGCCCCTGATGGTGAGGGTTATCTGTTCCTTACTAAATGGGCCAGAGACTTAAAAGTTAAGCAAACATTACTGAGGATGGAAGAAGGCAAGGTTCAGATACTCACCACTGCCCTGTTTCCTCTAGCTTTCCTTTAAAGAATGAAGATAATGGGGACAGGAACCATGAGAATGAATTCAGCATAAAAGAGAGATAAAAATATCTACACATATGCAGAACTTATTTTTATTATGTTGGGATATTCCTTAATGAGTTGGCAATTATTCATGTGAAGGAGAGTTGAGAAATCAGATTTATGACTCTATTAGTCTTGTCCTTGATTAGAGATTTATGAATTATATAAAAAATACTGCCTAAAGTAGGTTGCTCTAGAAGTAACAGTAGAGAAGGCCTAGAAGGTCTTGAATGTCTAAGAGGCTGTGAACTTGGAAGATCTTCTCCCTGCTTGTCTGGCTGTTCCAGCTGGACCACAAGACTTAAGTACAAGGATGAACTGCTGAATTTAAAGCTTTCTCTGTTGAATTTAAAGCTTTACAACAGTTCGAATGCTGTAAGAGAAGGAAACAATAAATGGGTTTTAAATGCTATCTTTGAAGACCACTAAAACTATTTTTTTAACCCTCCCTCCATAAACCCTAAATCATTACTACATTTTATAATATGGAAGCTTACCTCTTTCCTGCATGCATCAGTTCAAAGGCTTCATTAATTTGGTCAAAAGACAGATTATGAGTCACAAATTCATCAACTTTTATCTTTTTGGACATATATTCAGACACCAACTTTGGGACACTTTCCACACTCTTCCATCCTAAAAGAAATCATACATCTATTAATTCTCCCAACAAATCTTTAGAGTATGCTTATTACTTAGAGGGTGACAGACATTTAAGAGAATAAATTTTATCATGAATTAAAAGGGAATGAAGACCTTCAAAATCAGCAGAGAGGAAGAAGAATTTAATGTTTGTCTTTAGTTAAGAAAATAGTAAATGCCTTCCGAGTATTTTCCTTTTTCTGTATTAAGACTTACTAAAATCTCATTAAGTTTTTAGCAAATTGAGACAAAATTTTAAACTGCCTTGGACAGAACTATGGATATTTCACAACAAATTTACTTAGGTCCACAAAAGAAAGATTTCTATAATCGTGAAATTCAAGGAAGAATAAAACTGATGTGATACATAACTTTATTCCTTTGGTTTTAAATTTAGCAATGAAATTAGGGATAGCATCTCACCCTAGAAAACTGTGAAACTGAAAACAAAAGTGGGAAATTTTTAGCTATTTAAGATTTTAAACAAAATCAGGGGCTTCAGCCTTTCACTTATACTGAAAGATGCAATAAAACGACAAAGAAGCCTCTCCACCTTTTAAACTAGGGACACTTTGTAGCTTGTTTCAATCCACTTTTGAGCCTTTTCCAAATCTCCCTCTTAATATCTTCTACCAATCACTCTTCTCCTAAGAATTATGGGCCTTTTTCTTTGTCCTTTAAGAACAAAAAAGTGTGTGTGTGTGTGTGTGTGTGTGTGTGTGTGTATAATATTGATTGATTGTAGGCTCCATGCCCAACATGGGGCTTGAACTCATGACCCCAAGATCAATAGTCACATGTTCTTCCCACTGAGCCAGCCAGGCACCCACTTCTTTCACCTTTAAATCTCCTGGTAACCGAGACAAGTACAGCCACCACTATTCTCTAGACCAAAACTTCTATTTTCATCTGTGGGTCATATTTTAACAACACCCACTGGGCCCCAGTCCTCCAGTTTATTTCCCAACCAGCATGTGCTGGGAGGATGAGGCTTCAGTGAGGGGTTAGGATCAAACCCCAGGCTCAGTCTCCCAGGCTTAGAATGTCCTTTCAAATGCAGATAAGAACCTGGGAGGACGTGTGACCTTAAAAGTCTATTCTAAGATACTCAAGTGAGGCATATATCTAGTTGGAAAAGCAAGTTTAGTCAGCTTTATATATTTTTCTTAATAGAAATCCTTTATTTATTTTAAGATTTTATTATTTTTTTGAGAGAGAGCAAGACAGAGAAAGAGAGGGAGCTCACCTGAGTCAGGAGACGGGCAGAGGGAGAAAGATAATCTGCAAGCAGAACTGAGCTGAGCCCAACGTGGGGCTTGATCTCACAACCCTGAGATCATGACCTGAGCTGAAACTGAGTCAGACACTTAGCCGACTGCACCACCCAGGTGCCCCTTGACTTCTTTTTATGGTGAATTCTACAGTACAGAGACAGAAAACTTTGGCCAAACTCCTCATACTTTCCTGATCTTTTCCTCTGGGCTTCAAACAAGTGGACATAATACGGACAATGGGGATCTTAAGAGACACTTTGTTAAATACAGATTAAAAACTCATGCTATGTGATTTTTCACCCCTAAAAGAATGGTAAGAATATGTGTGTGTGTGTGTATTTAAAAACCTATAAAAACTTAAGATTTCATTCATTCATAATTGTTGGGATATAAAAGCATGATTTGTGCTTCTTAGCTGAGCAACCACGAAAAAGATGGAAATGATTTTTCAGCATTCTACCAGTAGTTAGGCAACCGCAACCAACCATGAACTTTTTAGGATCACAAAAGGGAAAAATGATCAGTCTGGCAACTTTTCAATTTTATTATAAAGTTTGGTGTAAAATAGTATTTTCAGGGGCGCCTAGGTGGCTCAGTCATTGAGCGTTTGCCTTCATCTCAGGTCAAGATCCCAGGGTCCTGGGATCGAGCCCTGCATTGGGCTCCCTGCTCGGCAGGAAGCCTGCTTCTCCCTCTCCCACTCCCCCTGCTTGTGTTCCCCCTCTCACTGTCTCTCTCTGTCAAATAAATAAATTTAAAAAAAAACCAGTACTTTCACATTAAGGCTTTGTATTGGTTACTGCTGAAGTCAGTACTATGTAGACAGAGGTATGATCACATCCAGCGACAGCTGCACTCGGGAAAGAGGAGCAGAAATGCCAACAGTTAAGTCCAGAGCGTAACAGTGTGGCTGACACTGTTGTTTGTGTATCCTGGAACCAACTCCTCACTCCTGCCTGACCCCCAACTATTTCCTCATCAACAGGATACTGACTGTGTGTGCAGAATGTGATCTTGTGCTTCACAGGAAGGTGAGCATCTCCCCGGCCCCGGGGTGAGTACTGAACGAACGTGAAACCCTCCCATTACAGCAACTATGCAACAACTTGTGATGAGAAGGTAGTCTATGAAAATTCTTGTTAAAACAAAACAAATAAAAATCAGCTTGGGATTAAAATTCCGCCAATGGAAATAACAATAGAGAAAATGTGCTCATCCACTGAATTACCTCCAAAAGCAGTGCCTTTCCACGTGCGGCCTGTTACCAGCTGAAATGGGCGAGTGGAGATTTCTTCACCAGATGCAGCTACTCCAACTACGACGCTGACACCCCAGCCTTTGTGGCAGGCCTCCAGCGCTGCTCTCTGCAGGCAGAGATAGGACCAAATCACAGAGGTCAGCGCATCTGGCTGAGAATATCAGCAAAATAGCTTTGCGGGGAGAGAGTGGTAGCTCAGAGCTTTTTAAGAAAATCACAACAAAATGATCATACTGAATATTTAGTAAATATAATTTCATTCAACAGTATTTTTTAAAAAATTATTAACCTGGCTAAATATTAACACAAAATGAATTTAAAGCTTTTATTTGCTGTCTAGTGTTTTTTTTTTAAAAGATTTGATTTATTTGCAGAGAGTGAGCAAGCAAGCACACACAAACAGGGGGAGCGGCAGGCAGAGGGAGGAGCAGGCTCTCCGTTGAGCAGGGAGCCTGACATGGGGCTTGTTCCCAGGACTGTGGGATCAGGACCTGAGCCAAAGGCAGATGCTCAACAGACTGAGCCACCCAGGCGCCCCCTGCTGTCTAGTTTTTAAAATAAATCCTAGTTCAAAATTCTAAAGACTTTAATAAAGGAAGCTGGTGGAGAATAGTGATACTCCTGCTGAGTATCAACTCTGTGTGAAGGAGGTGTCATTACTGTCTGCATTTTACACAAGAGGAAACTGAGCTTTAGAGAAGCTGTTGCTTGAGGTTAGTAAAGTGGATGTACAGCTAACCCCTGAACAACACACAGGGACTGGGGCACCCATCCCCCATGCAGTCGAAAATGCACACATAACTCCCCCCAAATTTAACTAATAGCCTACTGTTCACTGGAAGCCTTACTTATAATAATAATTCATAATATTCATAAAATATAAAATAATTTATAATAATATAAAGTCAATCAGCCAATATTTTGTGTATTTTATGCTCTATTCTTATAATAAAGCTAGAGAAAAAAAGGAATGAAGTGAAACATACCTACCATGACTTTTACATTACCAATGCACTCGAAGGAATAGTCCACACCCCCGTCAGTCATTTCAATGAGCACTTCCTGGATGGGTTTACTGAAGTCCTGGGGGTTAATGCATTCAGAAGCTCCAAATTCCTTGGCCCTTGCAAATTTATCTTTATTGATGTCCACACCAATGATCCGGGATGCACCAGCCACCTTACAGCCCATGATGGCCGCCAATCCAACTCCTCCTAGGCCAAAGATGGCACAAGTAGAGCCAGGCTCCACCTAACAGTAAAGACAGTCTATTAGGTACTCATTGCACAAGTGTCAAGGAAATCACTAGGTTTCTTACATACCAGGCCAAGTTCACTATTCTAGCAAAGCTCTGTTTTATCAAATTTGAAGGCCAATGTCTTACCTTGGCAGTGTTCACAGCAGCACCATAACCAGTTGAAATGCCACAACCCAGAAGGCAGACTTTATCCAAAGGTGCTAAAGGATCAATTTTAGCAACAGAGATATCAGCCACAACTGTATATTCAGAAAACGTGCTGGTTCCCATGTAATGTAAAATTGTCTTTCCTTTGCAAGTAAATCTGCTAGTACCATCTGGCATTAATCCTTTCCCCTGAGTAACTCTAAAGAAAATAAAAAAGGAAAAAGGCAGGGTAAAATCAGGTTTCCCAAAATGCACAGGAAAATCGATTTTAAATATGACAGAAATGTGTGCTATGACCCAAAGTCCAATTTAAAAAAAAAATATTTCAGAGAGAAAGAGAAGACAGCACAAACGTGCCAGAGAGAGCACATGCACACGTAAGCAGAAGGGGCAGAGAGAAAGGGAGAACTCAAGCATACTCTGTGCTTAGCACGGGATCATGATGTGGGGCTCATTGCACGACCCTGAAATCATTACCTGAGCTGAAAACAAAAATCAGACACTTAACCAACTGTGTCACCCAGGTGATCCCTAAAGTCTAATTTCTATTGTATTCGTTAATAATTTAGCACCTTTCAGCAATGCCTTATTAAGGAAACTTAAGAAAGACATTTGCCAACATTCAATATCCTTCTGGATCTTACTGTTGGTATTGAAGTAAATTTAACAGATACAGCTTACGGCAGATGAAATAATTTTAAAATTCCATCATAAAACTGTGAGCAAATATAACTTCTGAAAGCACAGAGCCAAAGCCAGAATCTACACAAGGAGAGATTATGAGCAATTATGCAGATCAGGTGATGAAAATAGATAGCCACACTGGCTAATTTAGATCTTTCAGGAGGCTTGTTTTTTCAAAACGGTCCTCAAGGATTCAAGTTATCTTTTCTTTCTGTTTTTTTTTTTTTTTTGCCTGTGTAGTTGGTAACACTAATGAAGGATTAAAAAAAAAAACACCTCACAAAGGACACCAGTATGATAAATGGTATCAAAAGTTATTTTTGACATTCTGAATAGATAGGTAATATAATGTCCTGCTTAGGAGTACAGGCCCTAAAGTCAAACACACTTGGGTTCAAATCCTGTTTGATCTTGGGCCAGTTAATTAGCCTTTGTGCCTTAGTTTCCTCATTAGAAAATGGAGAGAAACAATCATATTTTCCTTACAGATTGTTATAAAAATCAAATGAGCATTTGTAAAGCATTGGCACAGGGACAATACTAATAAATATTTAATAAGTTAATTTAATAACTTATTTAATAAATATTTGTTGTTTTTAGTAAAAACAATGTACTATAATTTGATGTGCATTCTTAAGCTAATCTTTTGGAATACACAGAATAAACAAATACACAGATGAAGAGAAAATGGATTGCCTCTAGACATAAGAGCATATACATTCCCTTGGAGAGAAAAATAAGACCAGAAACAAAAAACTATGTGACAAAGCTCTACCACAAATAACTTCTATCTTTAAGAGAACAACTTAAGTTTGTTTAGCCTTCCTTAATGTAAGAAATCACTTCTGTTCCAGAGGAGTTTCTTTAACAAAAGGTGACATGGGATACATTTTATGCTTTGAAAGGACTTGTCCCTCTGAAAGGTTACAGACAGCCACAAAAAGTCCATTATCACTATTTTACTTGATAGGTCCCAAGCTTTTAGACAGTGTTTGAAATTATCTTTCAAAACAAGATTTGTTTTGGTTTTAGCTTTGCCAAAACTAATTGGACTTATGTTATAAAGTAAATGGAATCTCGTTTCCCAAAAATATAAGCTAATTTTATCAATGGCACTAGGAAACAAATATGAGAACACATGGATTTTCCATATATGACTCAATCTTCTAGGTCATGGACACAATTCCAATGTGTGTGTGGGGGTGTGTTCCCTCACACACAACACTGAACAATTCTTGGACACAGCAGGGTCCAAGAATTCCAACTCAATTCTGACACCAGCTACCTGGAGAGCCATCAGGTTCCACAGATTAAGGACTCAGTCCTGTAGGACTGCCCCTACCCTCTGCTTCAAAAGCCAGTTGCAAGCTCCAGGCTGTTACAAGGGCCTTTTTTTGTTTTTTTTTTTTTTGGAAAGATTTTATTTGAGAGAGAAAAGAGAGTATGTGCAGGTGCATGCGTGCATATGCCTCGGGGGAGGGGCAGAGGGAGAGGCAGAGACTCTCAGACTTGGTGCCAAGTGCAGATCCTGACACGGGACTCGACCCCACAACCCTGAGATCACGACCTGAGCTAAAACCAAGTGTAGGAAGCTCAACTGACTGAGCCACCCAGGTGCCCCATGGAACCTATGCTTCTGACCCATAGGCTACAGATTGGAGGTTCCAAAGACTTCCTCCTTAGGTTCTTTTAATTCTCCAGAGCAGCTCACAGAACTCATGGAAACACTTCTGTTATTAAAGGATATGATAAAGAATACGAATCAACAGCCAGATGAAGAGATGCATAGGAGGTATGGGAAAAAACTGAGGAGCTCCCACATGCTTTCCAGGTATGTCACTCTCCCCAGTCTCCATGTGTTCACTAGCCCCAAAGCTCTCTGAACCATCCTTTTGGGGTTTATGGAAGCTTAATTATAGTCATGGTTGACACTGGCCATTGGCTGATTCAACCTCAGTAGCCCCTTTTCCTCTACCAAAGGCCAGGCCGTTTGTAGGTTTCCTAACGGTTTTCCAAAGGTCACTTTTACTAATACGATAAAGACACCTTCATAGCCCACATCACAGGAAATTCCAAGGGTTTTAGTAGCTATGAGCCAGAAACCATGGCAGAACACCAAATATGTATGAGAAATATAAATCTGGTCATCTAAATGAAATCACGGTATTATACTCAGCAATTCTAATCTTAGGAAAATACCCAAGAGAAAGTAGTGCATATATTCACTAAAAGATATGCACAAGAACGTTTATAGCAGCATGAGCCACGAGAGCCCCAAACACTGAAGGAGCAACTTAAATGTCCATCAACAGGGGAATGGCTAGAGATAAATGAATGAAATATGGCAGAGCAACCTGGATACATCTCATTGACATTCTGAATGAAAGAAACCGGAAAAAGAGCACACAGTATGGGATTCTATTTATATGAAGTCCTGTAGCAAATGAAATGAGAACAGTGGTTCCCTTTGAGGGAGGCAGGTACTGACGTGGAAGGGATAGAATGACTCCACAGGGTGCTGGAAGGGTTCTCGATCTTGATCTAGGTGGATATAGGTGTGTATATACATAACAATTCATGGAGCTGTACACTTAAGATTTATAGACTAAGTATTTTATTATATATGTTCTACCTCAAGAAGAAGAAAAAAAAGGTGAATACATGGAGATCTTAAGTAGCCTCAAAACAGAGTTAAGTGCTGCTACCTTACTACAATAAAGTAAGCACCTTTTTCTGTGTAGTAAGGGGTTATGTTATCTCTCGTAGTCTTCCTAGTAACCTATGAGTTTTATTACTTGGATCTCATGGACAATAAAATGGCTCTTTAAATGGTTTTATTTAATTTCATAAGCATGTCCCTACTTAATGTATATTTTGGCAAATTTAGCCTAGTGTTATGGAAGGAGAATGGGTTCAGAAAATTCTGTTTTATCTAATAGTTATGATATTGGGTAAACCACTTAATTTCTGAGTCTTAATTTTCTCATCCATGAAAATGGGGATATGAGTGATAAGGTTGCCACAAGGCTGAAATGAAATAATGCAGGTAGAATATTCTGTATACATTGCCACACAATTACTTATTATTTTAAGAAAAAAATCACAAAGATACTAACCTTATCTTCTGGCAAAGGTTTGTTTTAGGGTTTAGACAAAATTTGCATTCTCCACACTGTGGGATGTAAAGTGGGATGACAGTATCACCTGGGAAACAAATGCAAAGACACTCTCCTGAATAGGGAAGCTCTGTTTCTAAATGGATACATCAGCCCCTGTAAATTCCCACTCCTGTCAACTCGCATGGCTTTCCAAATTAACAGCTTCCACTTAGAACACAACCTACATAACATCATTCAGACACCACTGACTATACAAGAAGTACAAGTTTTCAAAATTTTGATTGAAATGAAGCTCTTAAAATTGTAACCGGAAAACAAGGTCATGGGCTTTGAAATATCGATTCACTGCTGAATCTTCAAAAATTCTTGTATAATTGTTCAAAACTGGCTTTGGGAATAAACAGTTTCAGAAGAACAGTAGTCTGCAAAATCCAAAAGAAAAAACTCTCCAGTATTTGTACTTCCCAGATAAGGAATAAAATCGTTCTTGACAAATGACTCATGTGATAATCTGTTCATGAAGAAACAATGTATAGCTTATTGGAAATATAATTTCCTTGCAGAAATTAGTTGAAATTATGAAATCAAGTGGTTCAAATATCCTCCTTACCTGCCTTCAGCTTAGTAACTCCTTCACCAACACTTTCCACAATTCCAGCACCTTCATGTCCCAGGATCACTGGAAAACTCCCTTCAGGATCAGCCCCACTCAGGGTATAGGCATCGGTGTGGCAAACTGCAGTGGCAATAATCTAACAGGACATTAAAGAGCATTTATGTGTGTGTGCATGCAATTCAGAGTGAGATACAGGTCAAAGGCAAGGCATTTTTAATACCGTATTTCACTGATTCTAAGACACATTTCTTTGATATTTTAACCTCTTTGAAAATCAGCATGTGATTATAATCTATGGCCTCTTAACAATTAGAACTGACAGCATTTTTTAGTGATCCATAAAAGTAATGGTGTGTTTATATGCAAAGGAAATGGTTTTTCTGTCTCCTTTCCAGCGCAGGCTAGCAAGAGCAGGTAAACATGGTGACTTTATGGGCCCTGTGCCTCCAGATATGGAGAGGAACATGACCTGTGTACAAAGCAGGTGGAGCCCACTTCACTGCTGGGATCCTCCTGACTGCTGACAATTGTGATTTCTAAGGAGGTATGTCCTACTTCTGAAATATGACAGGCTACTTATTCTAAGCCCAAATTCAGAGCTTTTAGTGAAACTGACTCCCTCTTTAGCAACCACACACAATTTCTACTGAAATAATCCTTCATTCCTATCTCTCTGGTTTTTAAAAAGTACCTTATCTTTCTAAGCACTAAAAGCACAAGAAAGAAATCTGGGAGGAGTGCCTAGGTGCTTCAGCTGGTAGAGCGTTTGCCTTCGGCTCAGGTCATGATCCCAGGGTCCTGGGATTGAATCCATCCAGCCCCATATTGGGCTCCCTGCTCAGCGGGGAGTCTGCTTCTCTCTCTCCCTCTGCCACTCCTTCTGCTTGTGCACACACATACTCTCTCTTAAAAAAATAAAATCTTAAAAAAAAAAAAAAGTATGGAATGCTTGTATTTATGCTTCTCTGTTTCTCACCTATATACCTGCTATTTGTTAGTAGCATCCTATCGCTCTACATCTCATCTTAGTACATCCCAGGACACATTTTCTTTTTCAGTAGCAAAATCACAATCAGGTTAATTTCTGAACTTAAGGAAAAACATCTAAGCCTTGTAGATTTCAGATTCCTGGGTCCAAGTTGAATAGGATCTTAAAAAGTTACTTGGCCCTGGTCTCCTCCACTTGGTATTTGATCCCTGGGAGCATGAGCGTTTGGAGGTGAGATGGGGAAGGTATACTCTGATTCAGAGCAAAAAAAAATTAAAAACAAAACAAAACAAAACAAAACCCTTACTTTTCTAGAATGTTAGTTTTACTCAGTGGTCACTACTTTAAAGTATTAATTTTGCATCAAAACAACAGAGTAGAATGCTAAAAATATCCAGGTGACTGCCTTGTGCAACAGCCTTTTCTCCACGGGGATCTTCCTTTCTCTGCCACAGTAGAGGCTGAGTAGGACTGGACTGATCCCCTGAACCCTAGCCTTGCCTGCAAGGGTCAGTACATTTTAAAGCTCTCTAAGCAAGCGGATTTCACTTGGCTGTTGCTCCAGTTAAATCAGGAGCCTCTTTCCAAATCTTATTTAAAACCTTGTCTAACAACTGAAGACCATTTCTACTTCTGTTTCTAAAGGTCTTCATACATTTTAAGCCATGGGATCAGGAGAAAAGGGAGCATTTTACAAATTCATCTTAAACACGGGCTACAGAAGGTCAGTTGCAATAATCCATTGATCCGTGGGGAAGGTTGCTGAGTTCAGCTCAACATCAAAGCAAAAAAGATGGAGCAGTGTTGCAAAAGCGAACTGGGTAAAATAAGAGGAAGATGTTGTGATTCTAAGGTTTGATGACTTTCGATACCTTCTCCTTGACACTGGCCTTTGGGATTTATCCTCAGAGGATTCACCTACCCAGAGACCTAATTTTAAGTCTTCTCTTCCAGGGCCTTAGATGTATCATTACCTTAATTCGAACTTCATGAGCCTTTGGGGGTGCCACCTCTACCTCCTCTATGGAGAGAGGCTTTCCTGCCTCCCAGGCAACTGCAGCCTTGCACTTGATAACCTGAAATGGGGAAAAAAAGAGAGCACATTGTTTATCCTCCTGCACTAATAATGAACTACTTATTAGTTAATTTAGGTCCTGAGGAATGCTAATCTTAGAAAGTATACCACACACGAAAACTCTACACCCCGAAGTGATAGGGAGAACTATTTTGCATGTTTTTAGATTTCATATAAATAATGTTCATGGAAAAAATTTAATTGAGATGATCACATGGTCAGATATAAAAGCCTCTTTTGGTTAAGAAGTTTTGTTAACCAAATAATTAATGGCTTTCTACAATGCATAAGCAGGAGCACATCAAGAATACAGATTCCAGGGGCACCTGGGTGGCTCAGTGGGTTAAGTGTTTGCCTTCGGCGCAGGTCAAGATCTCAGGGTCCTGGGACTGAGGTCCATGTCCGACTCCTGGCTCAGCAGGGAATCTGCTTGCCCTTCTCCTTTTGCCCCTCACCCCCACTTGTGCTCTCTCCCTCACTCTGTTCTCTAATAAATAAATAAAATCTTAAAAAAAAAAAAAGCATACACATTCCAAGACAATCTGATTTAGTAGGTCTGGCATAGGATCCAAGGAATCTGAATGCTTAACATATACCCTAGAGGATTCCTCTAAGGCTGGTTTAAGCTGACACTGGTTTAGTGCAAAACTGCAAAGTGGGAAGAAGCATAAGGAGTAACAGAAGGCAGGAACTTTAAAATACTACATCTACTCCTTTTAGCTGTTCTATACAAATACAGTAGCCACTTGCCATGTGTGTTACTGAGGAGCTGGAAAATGGCCAGTCTGAACTGATACAAACTGTAAGTGTAAAAGTTACTCAGATTATGAAGACTTAGTACAAATAAAGTAGAAGTATTTTAATATTTAAAAAATATTAATTATATATCATGATAGTAACTTGAATACAGTAGTTCTTCCTTATCTGTGGAAGCTACCTTCTCAGACTCTCAGTGGATATCTGAAATTATTATGTTTTTCCTATACAAATATACCTGTGATAGTTTAATTTATTAATTAGGCACAGTAAGAGATTAACAATGATAATAAAGTAGAACAATTATAATAAGTTATGTGAATATGGTCTCTCAAAATATCTTATTGTACTGTTATGTAGTCACCCTTCTTGTGATGATGTGAGACAATAAAATGCCTACATGAGGTGACATGGAGTGATGTAGGCACTGTGATGTAGTGTTAGGCTACTAGTGACCTTCTGACAATAGGTCAGAAAGAAGATCACATATTTCTGGACTGTAGGTGACTCTGGGTAACTGAAACAGTGGATAAGGCAGGGCAGGGGGTGGTGTGGATTACTGTATAATGGATTAAATTTTTATCCAATTTTCATGTGGCAACTAGAAAAATAAAAATTACATATGGGACTTGTATTATATTTCTATAGCATAGCATTGCCTTAGAAATTCTAGTCAGTACACTCCTCCTTTACCAGAGAATCATGTGTAATGAGGAGAGTTTAAACATTTTTTTTTTAATTGAAGTATGATAAACATTGAATATTATATTAGTTTCAGGTGTACAACATAGTGATTTGATGTTTATATACATAAGGAAATGATCACCACAGTAGGTCTAGTTATCATCTGTCACCATACAAAGTTATTGCAATATTTTCTTGACTTTATTCTTAACAGTGTACTTCACATTTCCATGACTTCTTTATTTTATAAGTGGAAGTTTGAACTTCTTAATCTTCCTCACCTATTTTGCCACCTCCCCAACCCCGCAGGAAAGTTTTGATTAGTTCACATAATGCTTATGAAATCTGTTGACAGAATAAAGGTTGCAAACTGCTGGGTTTATAGGAGACAGACTTGAAAGTCAACAATTCCAACAAGTGTAAGTTAAAGGGAGAGGCATAAAGTGCTACAGAATGCACAAAGAGGAGAAAGAGTTAACTTTGGTTGGTGGGTTTGAAAAATCTTCACTTTTATCTAGGATACCAAAGGATGAGAAAGAGTTACAAAAAGTGATAAAACACCTACAATTACAAAAAGCTATTGTGAGAAGTAACTGAAAATGAAGTCCCTAAAACTTCCTTGGCATTGTGTAGCTTTGCAATAATAAATCAATACTTATTAGTAGCAGTAGAACAAAGACTGGAGGAAAAGGAGAGTTGAACTACATGGAGAGATGAATGGCTTGTGTAAACTGGTGAGGCTGGAAATTATTGCTTTTAAAATTAAAATGTAGATATTAAATCTGATGGTCAAAAAATTCAGACATTGTATTAGAATCGGTTTCCAACTCAATGTATCATTAAAGCTCAAAACAAAGTCCTAAAGGTCAAATTTGGAATAGTCATGGATCCTAGAGAACTTAAGCAACATGAATAAATAATTCACCTATAATCTAAGTTTTTATGCCCCTTCCCCTCATTTCAGGAATGTTTGAAAGATTAACCTTTTCCTTTCAATGCCGATTCTAAGCAGAAAAGGCTCCACCCCAAATCCATAGACAATTGCCCTACTTCAACAATTGAACTATCACAGGATTATAATTTCTCACCTTCTTGGAACAAAGGCACTTGGTAATAAGGATAAACAACTTGCCAACTTGTTAAGTCTAAAAGATTGTCTACAGTTTACCGTTTCTTCTCAACTTCAACACTTAAGGTCCTAAATCTTTCTAGAAAATTTCTAAAGTTTGCAAAACATTAAAACACCAAATAACTTTTAATTATTCATGGTATTCGTATATTTCTGCCTTTCTTTATTGTCCAGTGCATATTTCAGGAACCTAGAATAGTCCTTGCACAGGAACAGACCTGGACCGGAATCTTGGCTACCTTAAAGTGACCACTAAGCACGCCAAACCTCTAAGCCTCAATTTTTGGTCTGTAAAATGGAGATAATACCCCGCAGAAGTGTCACGGGAGGATTAAAAGGATATAAACTTCTGGTGCCTTAAATGCTCAAAAATGTTACTACTGAAAGGGCTCTAGCAGTCTTTGGTGTCACCGTCACTGTTCAACTATGAATTACGATCATGAAACACAGCTATCATAAGGGTTAGACGCACAGGTTCTGCTACCAGCCAACTATGACCCCAGGCAAGTTAGTTATTTTAACACTTGCAAAGCACAAGCGCTCCTAAACCACTTCTAGCAGGAAACCGACCACCCCTGCCCCCCCTCTCTGCTGCCCTAGAAGCAGCAAAACCTTTTCAAGTAAGGAGCCAAACAAAGATTCTTTCCCTTCCTTCCTCCAGAGCAGCTCGCCCCAGGCACCGTTTCTGATCCGGCAGCTCAAGCCTGTCTGCGGGTCTCGCGCTCCCCTCACAGTTAGCGGCCGGGTTCCATCTTACGCTTTCCCTTTATCCCTTCCTTCCTAGGAGTCGGTCGCGCCACACAGGATGGCCTACCTGGCTCGCCATGGCCTCGGGCTCAGTCAGCTAGGGGCGGACATCCGGGGTGGGACCCACGGTACTGGGCAAGTGGGCGGGGCGTGCGCCTGGCGCTGGGGGCGCGGCGGGGGGGGCGTGCTCCTGGCGTGTTCCCGCCTCCGCCTGCACCGGGGGCGGAGCGTGAATGCGGGACTTGCTAGGCCTTCTTTGGTCGCGAGGGGCGGGCCCTGAGCTGGGCGGGGCCTGGGCTGGACGCGGCCGACGGTCTAGGACGCGCCCACGTGGTTTCAGCTCTGAAGTTGGAGGGGTTTCGCGCGGCAGTCAGGTTGGATGTGGAATATCTGTGCCTGAAGGAGTTTTCCCCCTGTAACTTTTAGCCCAGGCAGCGTAGATAAGGCTTATGAAGGAGAGAGATGGAATGTGAGGAACGAGGAATTTAACTGGAAGTACGTGAGAAACAGGACTGCACCATTTTGTGCTCCTTCTACACACTATTTGTGCGCTTGAGATGACAACGTGAGTAAGATCTAGCCCTTCAAAGGACTCTTCAATGGCGCGGGGAAACTGAGCTGTGAGGACAATGGTAAAGGGGACACAAAGGACGTACCCATTCGGGAAACTTCCCAGGCTCTATTCCAGCTGTTCTTGAAGGGCGAATAGAAGTTTTGGCGGTTAGCAGGATGCGGGGAGAGAACTTTGTGAGGAGGGGCACGAGTGAGTGTAAAGCCTCCGGAGCGTGGATGTATTTGATGTGGTGTGGTTTAGGAGTGGCCAGAGTGGAGAAAGAAGGTGGAGTATTTGCCAGTTTCTCTTAAACTCTATTGTGAATGCTGAATTTTTTTAAAGAATGGCTCTACCAGACCACTCTCTTCCTCTGCTTCATGGTCTTTTTCGTGGCTCATTTTGCTCAGTATGTATCTAAAGTGCTGGCGATCTAAAAAAAATTTCTGTCAAACGACTTTCCCTTCACTCCACTCTCATTTACATGGCTTTTAACTTATTTTTATGTAAGGACAGCTTCTAGGTTATGAATAAGGATGGCTGTGGTGAACTCCAGGCTTGGGCATACAACTGACTACTAGACATCTGTCTCCATTAGGGTATCTCCTAGTTATCTCAAAGTCGACTTCTTCAGAAGTCTTGTCATCTTTTCTTCTTAATCTTCCTTCTGTCTGTGTATAGCACCACCATCCTCCCCTCCCCCCCACTCCTCTCCTCTTTTAAAGATTTTATTAATTTTTGGGAGAGAGAAAGAGAGAGCACCAGTGGAGGGGAGGGGCAAAGGGAGAAGCACTACCCACTGAGCAGGGAGCCTGATACAGAGTCAATCCCATGACCCTGGGATCATGACCAGAGCCACAGGCAGATGCTTGACCTACTGAGCCACCAGGCACCCCCACCTTCTTGCCCCAAGCCAGAAACCTGGAAACTGCAACTTCTCCCAGACACTCAGTGCCTCCACTCAAAATGTCACCAAACCCTAAATACCTCTTATATCTTGTGCCTTCTCCCTCTCTCTCTCTCTCCATCTCCCCAAATTGGTTTCTTTCCATCCCCCACCCCCCACTGCTGCTGCCTTACTTTGTGCTGTCATCACCTCTTACAGGGTTTCTGAAAAAGCCTCCCATCTGATGTCTTTGTTGTCAGGCCCCTGAGTCTAAGGCATTTCTGACTAATTGACCCCTTAGTGATCTTTCTGAAACACACACCAATTCATGCCATTTTCTTTCACCTTTAATAGCTTTTGAATCCTAGTTATCTCTATATGCTTATTTTCTGCTCTTCTACCACACAAGTCTCATTCCAATCTTATGGAACATTTGCATTTTCTTAAAAGGACTGTTCTCTTTCTTGATTCCAAGCCTTTGTATATAATAGAACTTTTGCCTGGGATGCAGTGAAAGAACGCTTTTAGCAAAGAGTTAATGTTCTTTTCCCTACTATAGTTATATTGTCTATTTTCTGGGAAGAGGCATTTGCATTTTTGTGATACCTTCCTAGTTTGCTAATTTCTGGTCTGACATATAAGGGGATTGAAAGTTGTCCATCCATCCTAATGAGTAAAAAGCTGAACAAACTGAGAAATCAAAAACTCTTCTTAGATCTCTCAGAGAGTTGAGAACTCAGGGTAAACCAATGACCCCAGAATTGGAGTTAGACAAATACAGAAAATCACAACTTTTTGGAGCAAAAACCCACCTCTGGGGGAACCAGTACTGGTATTGGAAAATATGAAGTGTAATTGATGAATTGCTGGAGGCTTAGTGTGGATAAGTCTGAGAATTAACTCCAGAGAGATCTAGACATTTGCGGGGGTGGGGGTGTTCCCTCACACTTTTGTGACTTCAGGGAGTGTGCGGTGCTTCACCTATAAGTGGCCTATCAGAATTGAAATAGGGTCTTGGGCAAGCTGCTCAGTGGGAAGGAAGGGAAGAAAGTTTTGTTTTTGCTCCTTACTTGAACCTAATGGAAATGAAAGCACAATAAATTTGTGGCAGGTAGTGAAAGCAGTGCTTATAGGAAAATTTATAGCTTTGAATGTATATGTTGAAAAAGAAGAAAGATAAAAATCAGTTTGCTAACATTCTGCATTAGGAAAGTAGAAAAGGAAGAATATATTAAGTCCAAAGTAAGCGGAAGAAAAGAAATAATAAAATTTAGAGTAGAAATCAATGAAATTGGAAACTGGAATCAGTTGAGAAACTCAACAAAAGCAAAAGCTGGTTCTTTAAATAGACTAATGAAATTGATAAGCCTTTAACCAGACTAATTAAGTACAAAGAGAGAAACACAAATTACTAATATCAGAGATTAAAAAGGGACATTGCTACAGATATCATGGACACCCAGAGGATAATAAACTAATACTGTGAACAACTGTATAATTACAAAATTGTTAACCTAGATCAAATGGACAATTCCTTGAAAGACACAATCTGTTTAAAACTCACATAAGAAAAAATTGGTTATTAGAAAAGATATATCTATTAAAGAAATTGAATCGGTAATTAATAACCTTTCAAAACAGAAAACACCAGGTTCAGACGGGTTCACTGGTGAATTCTACCAACTGTTCAAGGGAAAGATTATGCCAGTTATTATAATCTTTTTCAGAAGACAGAAACAGAGGAAGGTAAATATTTACTAATTAATTCTATGAGGCCAGCATTACCCTAATAACAAATTTAGACAAAGTCATTACAAGAAAAGAAAACTACGGACCAATATCTCATAAACAGAGGTGCAAAAATTCTCAACAAAATATTATTAGATTGGTTACTACAATTTATAAAAAAAGTATATGGTATGACCAAGTGGGATTTATTTGAGGTATGCAAGGCTCATTCAACATTTGAAAATCAATTAACATAATCTGTCATATCAACAGGCTAAAGGAAGAAAAATCATGATCATATCAATAGATGCAGAAAAAGCATCTGATAAAATCTAACACCCACTTATGATAAAAACTCTCAGGAAACTAGACATAGAAGAGAACTTCCTCGCTTGATAAAGAACATCTACAACAAAACTACAAGTAAAAATATAATTAATGAAGAGAAACTAAAGGCTGTCTTGCTAAGATGAGGCACAAGGCAAGGATGTCTTCTCTCACCATTCCTTTTCAATATTATGCTGAAAGTCCTAGCTAATGCAATAGGACAAAATAAAATACAAGGTATAGTGATTGACAAGGAAGAGATAAAACTATTCACAATTGACATAATTGCCTATGTAGAAAATCTGAAAGAATCCACATAAGTCTCCTGGAACTGGTGATTATAACAAGTTTGTAGGGTACAAGGTAATAACCAAAAGTTAATTACTTTCCTATATACCAGCAATGAACAAATGGAATTTGAAAATAACAGAATACCATTTATGTTTGCTTATGAAAAAATGAAATACTTAGGTATAAACCTAACAAAATATGTTCAATATCAATATGGGGAGAATTTGCAAAGCTCTGTTGAAAGAGATCAAACAAGAACTAAATAAATGAAGAGATACTCTGTGTTCATGGAAAGACTTGATATTGTCAATATGTCAGTTCTTTCCTACTTGGTCTATAGATTCAACACAATCCCAGTCAAAATCCCAGCAAATTATTTTGTAGATATCAGCAAACTTACTTTAAAGTTTATATGGAGAGGCAAAAGAGCCAGAAGAAGTCAACATAGTGTTGAAGGAGAAGAGCAAAGTTGGAGGACTGACACCATCCAACTTCAACACTTACTATAAAGCTATAATAATTGGGACAGTAGGTTTTAAGTAAAAAATAGACAAATGGATTAATAGAATATAGCATCCACAAATAGACCCGTGTGAATATAATGAATGATCTTTGACAATAGCAAAGCAAATATGCAATATACAATACAGGAAATACAGTATTTTATTTTTTTAAAGATTTTATTTATTTGTCAGATAGAGAGGGAGAGTGCGCACAAGCAGGGGGAGTGGCAGGCAGAGGGAGAGGCAGGCTCCCTGCTGAGCAGGGACCCTGATGTGGGACTCCATCCCAGGACCCCGGCATCATGACCTGAGCCGAAGGCAAGTGCCTAACCCACTGAACCACTCAGGTGTCCCTGATACAGTCTTTCAAGAAATGGTGCAGAACTACTAGATATACACTGCAAAAAAATGAATCTAGACACAGACCTTCATCCCTCATAGAAGTTAGCCCAAAATAGATCATAGACCTGAAAGTAAATGTAAAACTATAAAACTTCTAGAAGATAACATAGGAGAAAATCTAGATCACCTTAGGTATAACAATGATTTTAAAATATAATACCAAAGGTATGATCTATAAAAGGAATAATTGATAAGTTGGACTTCACTGAAATAAACTTATGCTCTGAAAGATAGTGTCAAGGGAATGGGACAAGCCACAGACTGGGAGAAAACATTTACAAGGCTGTTTGATAAAGGATGGTCTTCCAAAATATACAAAGAACTCTTAAAACTCAACAATAAGAAAACTAATAATCCAACTTAAAAATGGGCAAAAGATTTGAACAAATTCCTCATCAAAGAAGCCATATGTATGGCAGGCAAATATGAAAAGGTATTTGACATTACATGTCATTAGGGAATTGCAAATTAAGACAATAATATG